GCTCATCCTCTCCTTAATACAGAGTCTCCCTGTCCCATATGCAGAAAAACACCCCAAAGCATGATGCTACTACCCCCATGCTTCACAGTAGGGATGTTATTCTTGGAATGGTATTCATCATTCTTCTTCCTCCAAACATGGTTAGTGGAATTATGAACAAATAGTTATATTTTGGTCTCATCTGATCGCATGACTTTCTCCAATGACTCCTCTGGATCATCCAGATGATCTTTGGCAAACTGAAGACGGGCCTTGATATAAGCTGGTTTAAACAGAGGAACCTTCTATGCCATGCATGATTTCAAACCATGAAGCCTTAGTGTATTACCAACAGTAACCATGGAAACGGTGATCCCAGCTCTTTTCAGGTCATTGACCAGCTCCTCTTGTGTAATTCCCGTAGCCCTTTCCAGCCTTGTGTAGGTGGACAAATCAGTCTCTAATGTCTTTGGTCCGCTCTGTGGTCTTGGCCATGTTATTAGTTGATTCTTACTGATTGTATAGGGTGGACAGGTGTCTTTAAACCACTAACCACCTCTAACAGGTGAATCTAATTTAGGATAATAAATGGAGTGGAGGCGGACATTTTGAAGGCAGACTAACAGGTCTTTGAAGCTCAGAATTCTAGCTGATAGACAGGTGTTCAAATACTTCTTTACAGCTGTATCATACAAGTAAATACTTAAAAAAATCATACATTGTGACTTTTGGATTCTGCCTGATCTATGAAGATCTGTGTGGAGGAGTGGGCCAAAATCCCAGTGTGTGCAAGCCTGGCGATAAACTACAGGAAAAGTTTGACCTCTGTAATTGCAAACAAAGGCTACTGTACCAAATATTAGCAGCGATTTTCTCAGGTGTTCGAATACTTAGTTGCAGCTGTATCGCACAAATAAATATTTTTTAAAATCATACATTGTGTTTTTAGGATTTCTTTCTGTTAGATTCTGTCTCTAACAGTGGACATGCACCTACAATGACAATTTCAGACCCCTCCATGATTTATAAGCCTTGCCTTCAAATACTTTTTTTTCTGACTGTATTTTTAAGTAACAAATCAGATGATATGTTTTTGTACTTAATGTTTAAGTTGCCTTTTTACTAACTTTTCTTTTTTTTTTTTTACACTTGATTCATTTCTTTTGCTATAAATTAGTTTTTGACACCACTCAATGTCTGCATTTGTCCTGCATCTTTCCCTAGAAAATATAGCCACAAAAAATACCTGGGCAGTTTTTTGGGCCTAGTCCAGGCCTGGTTTTATATTGTATAGTTGGTAAGGTTTTTAAGTGCTTAGTCCTGTTTCTCATCTGCTTCTCTATTTCTTTCCTGGACAAGCCACCTGTGTGGCTAGTTTGATGTTTCTATCATAGAAATTATGTATAGATCAGGCCTTCTCTGTTCCTTTAGTATGTCTCCTGGAACCCCCTGTCGGCCTCGGCACTCAGGCTCACACTAATCCTGGTTCAGGTTCTGGAGGTTTGTTCCTTTTAACCCTTTGTAAGGCAAGTTAGTGTATTTCATCCCCCCCAATACCATAGTGAGGTCTAGAAGCACAAGATCTATATCCAGCCATTTAGTAAAGATACTGCTACATGGCTGTACATTTATTTTGGCATTTGAACAATTAGATGAGCCCTTGAATGATATAATACCTACTGGAAATAAAGTTGAAAAAAAAGAACAAGTCATGAAAAAAAGGTAAGTTGAAAAGTTGAAAATGTAGTAAGCCTAATTACGGTAACAATTATATTTAGGGTTATAGATTAAAAAATGTAAGTTATCTGTTTACTACAGTGTGTTGAATTCATGTTAATGTGGATTTAAAAACATTTCAATTCAGGAGGGAATATATAAAAAAAAAATTAATCAACCAAAAGTTTCGCGACCCCCATGCAGTACCTCCGCGGACCCCCTAGGGGTCACGGACCCCCTGTTGAAGACCTCTGCTCTAAGGTTATGTTATAGCAAAAAAAATTTTTTTACTCTCTGAGTGTTTTTCATGAATTTCTTCTAGAAGCACTTTTGTTATTCTTCTTAATATTTTCGGGCAAGTTGGCGTTTCTTATTACATTGACGTTCATTTTTGCCACCAAAATATCCATATTTTTTGAATGTTACAAAGGTAATAAGGTCTTGTCCTGGATTCCAATAACACTATTGGCGTGAAATTGTAATTTTCAAAGCATTTCATTGAGTGCCCTATAAAGGGTTAAAAGAGTTTTCCTCTCCACTGTCACTGCATGTATTTTGCAGTGTGAGGGATTGCTGTCGAGAACAACAGTATGAAAGTGAATATTTAGGGTTCTTCATGCTCATTTAAGAGGAGCCAATCATGTCTCATTGCGTCTTTAGATGTGAATCGGTGCTATATAAATAAACTAGGTCTATTTTTTGTATTGGCTTTTGCCAATCCTTGCATCATCAAACAAATTGTTGCCCTTCAGTCTCGCTGACTGTAAGCTGTTATTATCTAGGGGTCTGCTTACCTTTTACTTTTATTATTTTTAATAAAAAAGTGCTGTACATCTAAAAATCAGGCCACATTTCAAATGTGAAACAAGAAAATAATGGATTACATATTTCAAAAGCTGGTAAAGAAGGGCAGCTCTGTTCTGGGACCTCCAGAAATGATTTTACAAAGAACCATATTTTATATAACGAGGAGCATGATGAACAACCCCGACCATTATCAGACTGTGAACATCATCAAAGTGTCTCCTGTCAGAGGCGTCTACAGAGCCGCTGGCAGACAGACTGTAGCAGGAGATCCTCCCTGCCGACAGTTATTAACACCTAAAACATCCCGAAAAAACTGTCTGGATGTGGTGGTGATAGCTTGAAGGAGTTTAATGGAGACAAAACTATTCATTCCAAAGCTTAGAGGAGGGTGACCTATACCCAGACAATAGGCGCTGACACTGGGTGCTGGACAGACAGCATCGTAGAAAGTCAGAGGCTCATAAAGACAGTCTTCCTATCAAATAAAGAACACTCCAGGATTAAAGGACTAATGTCTCAGCAGGACCTTAAAAACTCCTTCCTGATTCGTTCATCTTTACTAGCGTTGATCCATGCAGCGGCGTCTCCACAGATCTGACTAAGAAGTGGATCAGCTGCAGATGATCCAGAACGCTGCTGCCTAAGTCCTCACTAGAACTAAGAAAGTGGAGAACATCAGCGCAGTTCTAAAGTCCTTCTATTTGCTCCCTGTATATCAGAGCATAGACTTTAAAATCTAGAAATCACAGAAGCGCTTAGCATTGAAATACATACATTTGCTGTCAGTGGATCTACCTCCCAGACCACTCAGGTCTTCTAGTTCCAGCCTCCTCTGTCCACCCAGAACTAGAACCAAACATGGAGAAGCAGAATCTATGCTCCGTTGATCTGGAACAAACTCCTAGAAGCCTGTAAAAGTTCTGAAAGCCTGAGCTGCTCTAATTTAGGTTAAAAAAAAAACGGACATCATTGTTATCTTTGTTTTTACTACTCATCTTTTATAATAAATGTATTCATTTTTATTCTCATAGATTATTTATACTCACGGCTTTAATCACTTCTATCCCACTTTTCTCAGTGTTTTCCTTTTATTTTTCCACATAGAGCACTTTGAATTGTTGCTACTGAAATACACCATTTAAATAAACTTGCTTTGCAAAGAATTGTGGGAATCTGGAAATCTCCAGATAGAAACGTGAGGCAATCTCTAAATGAACTTATGGATAGGATGCTTCCTTTCCTTACTATTTGGAAAGCACTTATCTTGGTGACTAATGAAACACTATTGCTTGGCTGAAGAGTCCTTGATGCCCAACTGCTCAGTTTGGTTTGACCTGGGAATGCCAGTAATGAGCCTCCTCTACCAGGTGGTTTGTTGTTCCAGTCTGGACATCACTCACCTGCTGCAGAACAAGCAGTTCCTCTCTAAACCAGAGGGTAGCAGCAATGAGGGCCTTAGATGAAATAATCTATTTTGACATTTCCATTGTTATAGTATATTAACCATGAACAGATAAGTTTTAAATTATTCACATCGATATTAAACTGACATTCAAGGTTTTGTTAATTATGGGAGAGAAGGGAGATAATCTAGAATTTTCCCTGTAATTAGAGATTTATAAATATCTCATTTAATGGGTATACAGAGGTGGGTAGAGCAGACAAGTTTTACTCAAGTAAAAGTAAAAGCATTTAAAAAATACTCAAGTAAAGAATTACTTGATGAAATGTCTACTAAAGTAGTGATTAACTCTTAGCATCAGATTTAATGTTTAAAATGATGTCATCAGAGACAGGAACGTGTAAATTCTGGTATTTTGAAGTATTACGAAAAAGCGGCAATAAATACAATGGAAGCAGAGCAATAAATTCATGCATAGAAACACTTTTCTAAATAAAATTCCCATCATGAAGTTAGTTCATATTTACGGAAAGTATAAAAAACAAACTTCTAGCCATGTTCTACTATACGTTTGACCTCAGAACGGCTCACTGGATTCATGGTGGCTGGAGTAACAAACGATGCACTCACAGGAATATGAAGTAAAAAGGTAATTTGAAGTACTCTTAAAAATGACCTTTTCTTTTTTTTTTAAGTTACTCAAGTTAATGTAATTAGGTACTTCCCACCTCTGAGTTTAAATTCTACAGAACCATAAATGATTAGACAGCTTATTAATGACCAGCATGCATTCATTTATTAGCAGTATATAAAGTCCATCTTCAGTCATTCATCTAGAAAGTACGAATTTCGTTGCTTTTTCTTTTGGTTTAGTACGACTAGCGCAGCTGTTCCACACTGTTCGGTTTATTAACCCCCCCTCAGGTCACATCGGTTCCTGCATGCCCCCCCTCATGAAAATGATCCGTTTCCACCACCGCAGAGCTGCACCTCAGCCTTCCTGCTGCTTAACAGAGCAGATATTTAGCCTGAATAAAACTTTATCAACATTTAACTTGGAATCAGAAAGGAAACCAGAAGAAAACGAGGCAGTTGGTGGATTAATTTGATTAGATTAATTTACAAGTTTTATTTTTTAGAGACAGACCGACGCGGTAAATAAAAGTGTAAGATCATCTGGTTCATCTTTGCACTGATTTCACAAACTGTGAGGTTAAGAGTCTATTAGATATAAAACAAAGTGTTCTGGTTGTCACAGCATACTGGTACATAAAAAACTACCGACAAATATTTGTTGACATTTGAAAACAGCCTTGTGGTGAAATCTGTGGCTCTGACACACCACTGCGCACAAAACTTTCTTTCCAGGCATTTCAGTTTCGTGGACACTGCCGGCTGTTTTGAAATACTAAAGCTAATACTGGAGAAGAGCTACATGAGGAGCTGTTCAAAGTCCAACTTTCAGAAGGTCTGAAATTATCAGAAACATTTGAACTAACAGCCAAGTCCTGAATTCAGCAGAGAGTTGGGATCCTGGGTCCAAAGTAGAATCCCAGAAGGTCAAAGAAGGCCCAAGAGTTTCTACCCAGCATCACCAGAACCACAACAAGAAACGAGCATCAGGAAGTTGAAGATATCCACCGCCGCTGGCCTCCAGATCCGTCTCCGCTTCGTCTTCTCAGACAGAACTACAGGAAGAGAGCAGCAGATTTTACCGGAATGTTTAAAAGGAACGGAGACTTATTTCCAAGATGTCTGCCGGGGTTAGAAGCCTGCAAAAAATCAAATAGGGCATCTTTCCTTGTTTTACATTTAAAGGAGAAGTCCGCTCATAGTCAGAATTCAAACTTCTGAAAGTACTTTACATATGAAATGATTGCAAACTTTTCAATAAATGATCAGTGTTTTTAATTCAGAGTTATTTTCATGTGAATGTGCTTTACTGGAGGCATCCATGTTTGTCAAAGAACACTACTGCCACCTACTGGTTTGTGACGTCACGGTGCGGTATCGGCTGTTGATCAAGTCCCAGTGCTGTATCTGGTGTTTGTCACAACGCGCTATTATCCAAGTCATCTTGAAAACATTCTTCTTCCAAATGTTGGCTACATATTACGGGTTTTTTCTTTGGCCAGAAGTTCGATGGCAAATCATGAATTATCATCCGATCATGAATTAGAAAGCTGAATTAACTAATTTTAATTTTCCACTTTTACCCAATGTATTCCAGCATCCAGCTGCCATGCACGTGGGCATTGTCAGTTTCACTATAGCTCTGGTGAATTTCAATGGTGAAGTCCTCTGGAAATCTTCAATAATTGTTGTTGGTTGCAGATGTGTCTAGTAGTTCCCATTGATTTTGCTTGTAAAGCGGGGAGAATGGCGCTAGGCTTACCGCACCGTGACGTCACTGCTGGAAGATGGCAGGAGGGAGGGGCTACTATCCCAGACTCAGTGATCACGACGAAAATTTCATTTTTTTTACTGATTAACGCTAAATTTATTAAATCACCGCGAACGTATTAGTTTCAGGTATAGATAATGATCCATTGTTTATTCCATGCTGACCGGACTTTTCCTTTCAAATAGGTAAACAACTCCAGTATCATATGTCATTCTATATTATCCAATAATCCTTTTTAAGGAAAAAAGAATCCTAATTCCATTGCAGATCACCGTTTTGATTTGCTCAAATTAAAGAGCAAATACGCTCATTTCAGGATATTTATATTTTGTTCAGGTTTTTCTAAGCAAAATAAAGACCTTCTAACAAAAGGCATGACAAACATGAGGCAACAATTTATTCAGGTCATCAGAGCAGTTAAAGAACAACATGTTTGTGACTCGGTTCCCAAACGTTCCCCATCCAACCCGTCTAGTGTTACCATCAGATGGGCTCGCTGAGTTGTTCCGAGTCTTTCTGAAGGATGGCTCTTCTTGGCTGACCATCTTCCTCTGGACACAAAAACCAAAGGGATCATTTTAGGGAATCTTATAAAAAACTGTTTCAGTTAATCTCATAAATAATTATTGATCTCATTCCTGACAGACATAAAAACTGTAAAAACGAAACCTGCCTCTCTTACATATTGACATGAAAACCTTAAAGTTAAAACGGCCCAGGGGATAAGTTGTTCCCACATGTATGGAAAGACCAGAGAAGTCTTCAGACGACTCCATCCAGAAAGTTTTCACAGCGCTGAAATATTTCTATTTACTTCTATTACAACCGGATCGGAAATATTTATCTCTTTCCTCTAAATTCTACACACTGTACCCAGATAGATGGGAAAGGATCTTTTTAGATTGTTGTTAATGTGTAAAATACAGAAAGAATTTTGGTTGTAATTGTTATCAGGATCTCAACATGTGTGACACAAGAGAAATGTGTCTTACAATAATGAGAACCTAAATGACAGAGCAGAGATACAGATTAAAGTTTTACTTGGTTATTTTTAACATCTACATTCCCTGAAAGTAGAAAATATAACAGAACAAAAAAAAAAAAAACAATAAGCTGCTGGAGTCTGACAGGCAGCCAATAGCGGCTCAGCCGCTAACTAATAAACATACTCCAGAAATCTAGAGCTTTTAAGCATTTAATCCAGTTTAATGCCTGCATCTACGAAGTAAATAAATTAGTTTATTATTTATTAATATTAGACCAATTGTTTTGCAACATTTTCAGGGGAGGTTTAGCCTCCATAGTGTTCAATGAGAAGTTACCAATGCTAAGGATTATTAATTCCACGTCTCCTGAAATCATTTTATAAGATACCAGATTAAACCTGAGGTAACCTCATAGATGATGCTTACCGCTCGGGTTTCCCTCCACGTCTTCCAGGAGGTTCGCTGTAGAGTTAGCCGTCCCCAATCTGAACACAAGCTTAGTTAAAAAACCAAACCAAACAAATGAAAGGTCCGTCTGTTTGCAACAATATCACAAATAGCCCCATTTAGCCGTGTTAGAAAGAAAACCATCATATACCAGCAGGAATACTGGAGGCATTAATAATGGGTTTGACCACAGACTCAATGAGGGCGTAGACTGAACCATAGACTGACCCGGCCACAGCCTCAGTCCGTTTCACGCTGAGCACCGCATCCTGACTCAGAATAAAAGCTCTCTAGACCATAACTGAAGAACCGTGAAGGAACGGAGCTTCTTTAATGACTTAATGTGGTTTTCTGTCACACATCAAGACCACAAAGCAGGAAGTGATGGTTCCTGATTAAAGAGCTGCTCAGACCTCATCCTGCTCTTAAAGTCCGCTCATATTCAGAATTCAAACTTCTGAAAGTACTTCCAATATGAAATTATTCCATCCTGTTCAATAAATGATCAGTGTTTTTAATCAAGAGTAATTTTCCTATGAATGTGCTTTACTGGAGGCATCCATGTTTGTCAAAGAACACTATGTATGTATTCCAGCATCCAGCTGCCATGCACATGGGCATTGTCAGTTTCACTATAGCTCTGGTGAATTTCAATGGTGAAGTCCTCTGGAAATCTTCAATAATTGTTGTTGATTGCAGATGTGTCTAGTAGTTCCCATTGATTTTGCTTGTAAAGCGGGGAGAATGGCGCTAGGCTTACCGCACCGTGACGTCACTGCTGGAAGATGGCAGGAGGGAGGGGTTACTATATTTGGGCAAAAATGGCTGCTCTCGGTGATGGTGATGAAAATTACCGTTTCATTTTTCTACTAATTATTGCTAAATTCATCACTATATTTGCGGAAAAAAAGCCACTCCCAGACTGGGTGATCGCAATGAAAATTATTGTTTTTAATTTTTTTACCGATTAACGCCAAATTCTTTAAATCACTGCGAATGTATTAGTTTTAGGTATAATTAATGATCCATTTAAAACCGGACTTTTCCTTTAAGGACAGAAACCTGAAGCTGTGGGGGTTTATGAATGGAGAACACATCAGTGGGGGTCTAATCCTAAACATCTTGCTTCAGAAGCAGATCTATGCTGGGAAGCTAAACTGGAGCCTCAGAGAACCATGATGTCAAATTCAAAATAAACTGGTTCTAAATAGGGGTGTAAATAATAATCGTTTTGTATCGATGCATCGATCCAACAGCCGAGGATTCGATGCATCGACACGTCCGCAAGAGAATCGCTTCATGTTTTTTCCCCCTCCGGTCTATTTTTATCCATTTGCTCCTGGGTGTAATTCTCCCTCCCGTGCTGCGGTGGCGCTAAACCTATTTTGCCCTCCTACCTCGCTTCCTGGTTATAGTCCTGCAGCAGTGTGTTGCAGTGAGCTTGATGCAGACATTTGACACAGTCTGTGCTACACACTGTGGGTCTAGATACAGCCGAGGCGGTGAGGAAGTGGGGGTGAGTTTAGTCGGACGACGGAGGGACATGAGGGCCAAAAAGAGCGGAGATCCAGGTGGAAAAAGGGTCCCCGCGTTCTCGCACGCCTCGCTCTTCTAGCGGGTCAAACTTCACCAGTTGTTTTCCGCAAAAACAAAACAAGCCGGCCTCCTCTCTGCTGCACTGTCTGCGGTCAGCTACAATCTGGTAGAGGAGCAGCGGAGCGTCTGTGGAGGGGGCGGGGACGTCTGGAGCCGAGGTATTGCATTGCACTCATTGCACTGATTTTGTGCAGGATTTTTTAATGCAAGGTCTTTCAGAATCTATAACGCAGGGGTATTATTATTTTTCAGGGAATGAGGTTTTAATAGGAATAGTTGGAGTACAACTTTTCTACTCGTGTTATTTGCTGTAGTTTCTCAAAAAAAAAATGCATAACGATATTACAGCTTTCATTGATTTATTTCAAATTTGAAACATTGTCTAGCCTGTAAGGTGTAAAAAAAAAAAAAAAAAATTACCCAATTAATCAAATCCTATCGTGGTGTATTCTTGAGTATCGAAAATAATCGAATCGTTGGGTCAGGAAATCGATACTGAATCAAATTGCCATGATGGGTCTGATTTACACACCTAGTTCTAAAGAAGATCCAGTAAAGTGTAGCATGAAATAAAAGGTCTTTGTCCCCCACTAACCTCTGCCTTCCCAGCTCTGCTCACTCAGCCCAGCAGAGACTCATTCATGCGTCTGTTTAAACGCCATCGATCTATTTCAGGTTTCTAAAGGTTGGAAGCAGCCACTGCTCTCATAAAGGATATAAATGGACGAGAGCCTTTCTTTTGGACTTCCTCCTCTTGGTCTTTTCAGAAAATGTTCTGGCGATTTCAAACAGCTTCTTCCTTGTTGCTGAGGTGATAAAAGATAAAAGCTGTTATAACAGCAGCAGGGTGAAGCAGAAGGTTAGATTAGCTCATCCTTACATTTCCCCATGTGTTGCAGCTTGTCTCTAAACAGAGCGTCATCTGAGGGGGCCTCCACGGAGCCGCCTGAACACAGACAAAGAACCCAAACCCATCGGTATTATTACGCATGTCAGACATGTTGGATAGGTTTCACTGGTGGGCGGAACCACCTGTTACATCTACCTGAGGAGGTCCCCACGCCTGACAGATGGCTGGACTTCAATTCATGCTTCAACCGATCTGAAACAAGAACAGAGACGTATGAGGACAAAGCAGTGAAAAATAAAACACACTTAGATTCACTAGGAGGTCAGAACTCAGCTGAAAGGTCACTCGGGGTATAGATAATCTCTGGAGCAGTTAGATTTAAAGATGCATGTTGACATCTGAACGTTTATCTCTGCAGATTCCAAGCCATCAGGCCCCCAGGATAACTGCTGCGCCGCCGTGCTTCTGGCTGCATCTGTAGATTCTCTCCTGTTTGTGGAGCAGTTTCTCTTTGCACTCAGGTCAATGTTTTTTTTTACTTTAGCCCCATTTACACTACCCTCTGAAAACCCATCCGTGCCGAGCTTGGATCAGTTAACCGTGCCAAGCTGAGTTCCTTACGACCGTTTACACACCACGCTAGCACGGTTTCTCGCCTCCTAGTGGCAATCTATGGTACCACTGCGCTCTAGGGGTAAACAAGCAAACCAACAGCAGCCTTTGGTGAATTTACTTGACCTTTCGGGAAATGGATACGACAAACGATAGTCTCATCAAGGCTTAGAGACGCAGGAAACAACGACAGACGTTGAGGTTCATCAGACTGCTAAGCAGAATCATCACTGGAAATCGTGTGGCACGGTAGGGAAGCTAGGATTTTTATGAATGTCTGAACTTTCATGACTATGGAAGCTGATTGTGAAGAGATGACGCGGTCTGCTGATGCGCTCTTTGTTATCTGAGAACCGAGCCAGAACTGAACCGCGCCGAGCCCTGCTGATGAACTAGTACCGGTACTAATTTATGCTGATACAGATTGTCAGTCATCCAGGTCATAGTAATTCCAAAAAAGGTAAAAAAAAATAAATTAAAAATTAAAAACAATCCACTGGACACTGTTTCCAAGTGCAAAGACATTTCACTTCCCATCCAGGAAGCTTTTTCAATTCAAAATGTCAGAAATAGGGTTGGGTTCAAGGCTTTATAGAGTGAACCAAAGCAAAGCCTTGTTTTTTCTTTTTTTTTTTTGGTAGTACCAGTTTAGCACGGTCCGGTTCAGTTCAGTTGTGCATATCACTTACACTCAACAGTTATCTTGGTTAGCATGCTCAATCTGGTCTCAGTGCAGTTTTATAAGGTAAATGGGGCTTTTGAGGAATGAACCAACCCAAGAAGGTAAACTGCCTGTGATTGGCTACTTTCAGGAACAAAACAGCACTGTTTTCTTCCTGTTTGTGGCTAGGAATGTTAAAGCATCTTCAGGCTAACTGCTGATCAACAGGAGAGTAGGAAAGAGGCTACAGGTATAGAAAGATTTATCAAACAATGCAGAGAAAGAACATGTGTTCATATATGCAACATGTTGGATGGCATCATGGTTTTCAATCTGCTCACAAAAAAAGTTCAAAATACTCCTGTGTTTAAATGAAACCATGAGTATTTATTAATGTTTGAACTTTAGGCAGAATTCTGACTTGTTCATTTACACCGTCAGGAAAATGACACATGATGACAGGCTGAGGGCCCGTCTCAGGTACACCCATCATCACAGTCGGTCTGGGTCATCTAGCTACTGCTCCAGTTAGCTCCATTCTTCCTTTACAATACTAGTTCAACTACTGATCTGCTAATCTGATCGGCCTGTTAGCATGTCTGATCGGCCTGTTAGCATTTCTGATGTCGACCGCCTGTTAGCATGTCTGATCGGCCTGTTAGCATTTCTGATGTCGACCGCCTGTTAGCATTTCTGATCGGCCTGTTAGCATTTCTGATGTCGACCGCCTGTTAGCATTTCTGATCGGCCTGTTAGCATGTCTGATGTCGACCGCCTGTTAGCATGTCTGATCGGCCTGTTAGCATTTCTGATGTCGACCGCCTGTTAGCATGTCTGACCAGCCTGTTAGCATTTCTGATGTCGACCGCCTGTTAGCATGTCTGACCAGCCTGTTAGCATGTCTGAAGTCGACCGCCTGTTAGCATGTCTGATCGGCCTGTTAGCATTTCTGATGTCGACCGCCTGTTAGCATTTCTGACCAGCCTGTTAGCATTTCTGATGTCGACCGCCTGTTAGCATGTCTGATCGGCCTGTTAGCATTTCTGATGTCGACCGCCTGTTAGCATGTCTGACCAGCCTGTTAGCATTTCTGATGTCGACTGCCTGTTAGCATGTCTGATGTCGACCGCCTGTTAGCATGTCTTACCGGCCTGTTAGCATTTCTGATGTCGACCGCCTGTTAGCATGTCTGACCAGCCTGTTAGCATGTCTGATGTCGACCGCCTGTTAGCATGTCTTACCGGCCTGTTAGCATTTCTGATGTCGACCGCCTGTTAGCATGTCTGACCAGCCTGTTAGCATGTCTGATGTCGACCGCCTGTTAGCATGTCTTACCGGCCTGTTAGCATTTCTGATGTCGACCGCCTGTTAGCATGTCTGACCGGCCTGTTAGCATGTCTTACCGGCCTGTTAGCATTTCTGATGTCGACCGCTGTTAGCATGTCTGATGTCGACCGCCTGTTAGCATGTCTTACCGGCCTGTTAGCATTTCTGATGTCGACCGCTGTTAGCATGTCTGACCGGCCTGTTAGCATGTCTGATGTCGACCGCTGTTAGCATGTCTGACCGGCCTGTTAGCATGTCTGATGTTGACCGCTGTTAGCATGTCTGACCGGCCTGTTAGCATGTCTGACCAGCCTGTTAGCATGTCTGACCGGCCTGTTAGCATGTCTGATGTTGACCGCTGTTAGCATGTCTGATGTCGACCGCCTGTTAGCATGTCTTACCGGCCTGTTAGCATTTCTGATGTCGACCGCTGTTAGCATGTCTGACCGGCCTGTTAGCATGTCTGATGTTGACCGCCTGTTAGCATGTCTGACCGGCCTGTTAGCATTTCTGATGTCTGACCGGCCTGTTAGCATGTGTGATGTCGATTGGCTGTTAGCATGTCTGACTGGCCTGTTAGCATGTCTGATGTCTGACTGGCCTGTTAGCATGTCTGACCAACTAAACAAATTCAGGTGACCAAATTGTTAATTAATAGTTTACAAGATACTGTTCTCATAGACAGTGATTAAAAAAAAACAACAACAACAAAAAGGAAAACTGTACAACTGCACCGTTAAATGTGGGCAGAGCAAAGCAAACGGGTTAGACCAGAACCAGAAGCAAGTCCAGAGTCCTGAACAACCTCCTATCCTAATAAGAGTTTCTAATATCTCCCTTCAGCATAAATAAAGTACTTTTGAAATGAAAGAAACTGTGTGGGGACTTTACAAGCCACTTTTTCAAAATAGTCCATGGCAGAATGACAGGAGTAATTTGACTTTTCCCTGTTGAACCATCTGCATTTACGTTTTCTGAGGGAAAACCTGGAATTCTTGCTGGTTCTTTTTTGGTGTGAGCTCTTTATTGAAACCAGAAAAGTCTATCAGAGCATTCTCTCCACCACAATCGGTTATTTTAGTCCTCCTTGGTCTACATCATTCCTAGAAGGCTGCTAAATTTAGCATGTCTTGCTATCACTCCTCGCGTCTCTAACCAACAATGAAGGAGTCACCTGCAGGCGGTCAGTCAGTGTTTCTGCTTTTATAGCGTTTATCTTATTGCATCAGGGACCAATTAAAAAAACTATGGCTAACAGCTAATGTGGCTAATGCTACATCCACAGCCACAAAATAAACAAAAGCCAAATTCTCATGTGTACCTTAAAGAGAGAAAAAAAAAGGGTGTACAATTTTTTTTCTTTAAAAAACAATTAAACATGAACATTAGAGAAGAATTTAGTTTCTAACATTCCAGGTTTTGACGATTTGAAAGCATCTTTTTGTTTGGTAAAAGGACTGATGCAGAGAGAAGGTCAACCCACCCTAAAGAAAAAGCTGTTTGTTGAATCTGTGTTTCTGATCACTTCTTTCTGGTTATTGGGTAAATATAAACCCCTCTGACCGAGTTTAGCCCTTGCAACTTGTTTGTATATTTTTCTTTTCTAGTTTAATGGATTGCTTAAGGATTGAAACATACCAAAGAGAAACATAAAGGGGAAGCATTTGAGGAACTTTTTCTCTATTTTTAAAGACACGATGCATTACCTCTCTCCAAGGCGATCAGGAAGTCATGGTTACGCTTCAGCTCTTTCAAAAACTCCTCGTTCTGCAGAAACAGGGCGATGCGCTCGTCCTCCAAATACTGCTTCAGGCTATTCTCTTGTAGCCCCGATGTCAAATCAGGACCTCCAGCCGTCACTGCCGCTCCAAACGGAGACCCAGACGGAGCCGTCCGCCGACTCGCTGAGGACGGATGGGATGGACCGCTCTGAGAGATGCAGACAGGCAAGTTTATTTACCACTCACTAACACCAATCAGTAACCATAGAAACAGAATCTGGTGGTCTGGCTTCCTGTCGTAAGGAGAGACGGAGTGAAGGAAGACATTCAACAACAGCAGCCTTTTTTCTAAGGACAGTCAAAGGAAATGCAGGTGAGAGACGAAAAGGATCAGATCAGAGGAAGGTTCTAAACTCCTAAAATTCAAACAGCATCTACAACCAGAATAAGGTTCAACTTTAGAACATTTATTTTCTTCTGATAAATCATGTCACCGCCTGAATAAGTGTCGATAACAAAAACTTTCTTAGGTAACTATGGCTGACTGCATGCTACGTAAATCGTAGCAAAAAAAAACATGAACCTCATAAATACCATTAGACTTTGCTGCGGCAAAATCCTCAAGAAGTCGTCTGGAAGATTTCCAAGCAGAGGAGGGTTCCAGTTCCTGTAAACCCGAACCGGCGGGGCCCCTGGAGGCCCCTGGGATTCTGATCTAGGACAGCAGAAGAAGAGAGCATTAGCTTACCTCACCAGGTTAGCCATCATTGTGTGACAGCAGGTGAGGTGAGAAGATAAGGTCACTTTCTGTTAGAGTGGATGAGGTGTGGAAACTTCATTAAACTGTTCCTGAATAACTTGACAGACTCTCTCCTCCCCAAGAAATGAGCCAGAATACAGGAACCCTGACCTGCAGGTTTATTATCATCCACCCCACAGATAATAAAAAATAAAAATCTCAGCAGATGTCTGATGGATTTGTCCCACTTCCACCATTTCATGAGAATTAGATGTTTTGAGTTAGACTCCCTCACATGGCAATGTTTTAATTGAAATTTTATTGTAAGTGCATATTTGGCTTTTATGTGTGTGTCTTTGTACGTATGTAATGATGTGATGTAATTTTGATGCCTATCTTGGCCAGGTCTCCCTTGCAAAAGAGATTTTTAATCTCAATGGGTATTACCTGGTTAAATAAAGGATAAATAAATAAAAAATAAAAAAAATGAGACAGGATACATCTGGCTGGATGCAGTCAGGTTCCTGGAGGTGGAGAGGAGACCAAATTTCTGTTTAAGTCCTTGCTATAAGTAAGATGACCTTTGACCTTAACAGGGCGGTTGGCCATCTTTCTGATTTAGAAAAAAAAAATATGTGAAATAAATCTCCACAGGGCGGCCTGAACTGATGCAGACTGGCTATTTAAGGGCTGAATGGTCCACTGGTCCTACCCACTCCGTGGTTTGGGACAGCACTTAATGTGGCGGACCCTCCGCAGGAACACGCAAACCAAGGGGTTAGTACTCAGGGTTAGTGTTTAGGTGCAGTTTGGGGTTCCCTTCATTTGCCTATTGCTTCCAGGATTAAATCCTAGTCCTTACTTTTAGGCGCCTAACTGCTGGTCTGATCCAGCTCTACACCGCAGCACGTAGCCTGAGGTCTTCAGGTCAAAATCTACTCAAGGTTCCTCAAACCTGAGGGGTTCGGGTCTTTTGATGCAGTTGTACCTTTGTCTTTGTGGACACTTTTAAAAAGCAGCTAAAAACCTGAACGTTTATGCTGGCTTTTTAAAGCAGCCAATCATCTTCCTCATTTATTTGCTCAGTTTTTAACTGAATTTGACTAATTTTAACTGACATTTGTTATGCGTTGTCCTAGTTTATGTCATGGTTTTAGTTTTCTTTTGTCAACTATGACTTACATACCTGTGGCAAGACTATAAATAAACAATACTAATAAAATTCCAGATAAGAGGGCGTTGCAGCAACACAAATGACCTGACAGCTCTACCTAAAAATGACAGCCTTAAAACTAGATGTCATATTAAAGACACCAATGAAAACTAAGCAGACTCTCTCTTAAAATCCAGTTTGTTTAAATTAGCTTTACAAATAAATGTTTTACATTTTCAGATTTTATTTTAGTTAAAGATATTATCTAAGTTTTTATTAAAAAGTCTTAAGAATAGCTGTTTCTTTTGACCATTGATTTTAACTAGTGTTGCACTGATACTGATACCAGTATCGGACGGGGCCCCGATGCTGCCCTAAAATGGTGGCATCGGTATCGGCAAGTACCAACCAATAGGGCACCGATACCATTTTGAGAGCCAAAAGTTTCTTCAACTATTGTCACCCACTCCTGGTAGGCAATAAAAAGTTCTACTGGATTCACTTTGTATTAGATTTTTTCCTGCTTCACAAAGGTAGGCAGCAGCTTGACAAAGCCATGATGGCAATTATTTTACATTATTATGGTATCGGTATCGGCCGATACTGCACAGCTAGGTATCGGGGCCAAAAAATGGCATCGGCGCAACACTAGTTTTAACCATGATTAAAACCTGGTTTGATGATCAGACTGTAGTAGTGCAGCGTTGATGCATCTATAAGCCTGTGGCCTATTTTGGATGTGAGGTTCCCACGCTATTCGTTGGATATGACGTAAAGTTCCCCCATGTTGAATGGGTCTGACCAATCAAGCAAAAGTGTCATATTCAAGATGGATTTTTGTGGATAGTCGGAAGCGACAAGCATCCAGCAAAACTTAGACGCCATAAGCAGCTCATGTAGAGGTAAAAAGGTAAACAAACAAAAACAAGCTACGAGAACAAGCAGAAGAGAGCTGCAGTTCCATGTTTTGGCCACAGGTGGCAGTATCATTAGAAAACTCTGTAATGCCTCTTTAGCAAAAATGTTTTTTAATTCTAGTTTTCTTTGTTCTGTCAGTTTCAGTGAACCACAATAAAGGTGCATCTGAGCCGCCGTGAAGAATCCTAGTTGGGATAAAAAAGATCCCAATTACAACGTTTATTTGCAAACATTACCTTCCTTTAAAAGTCAATACCAAAAGTAAACGAAACACAGCACTAAAGACAATTTTTAGCCTTTTAATTAGTTTTTTTAGTCTTTATGGGACGGGTTTTACAAACGCTCTTTTAATAGGAGGAGTTTGCAAGAATTAGTGAAGCAAAGATGGCCATTTACTTAGACTGCAGGAGGGACCTCACCTTGATGCCGTGGATCTGTGGAGGTGCAACGTAAAGCCAGAATAAGGCTGGACGAGCTTAACAAGTTCCTCATTTAATGATTTTAGCTTACACTTGTTTTACCTTAACAGTGATTTTTAACTGCCTTGTTTTACAACAATAATTGATTCTATTGTTTGAATTGTGTAAATAAAGTGTTGTTAAAATCCAAAAGACAAACATCAGTTTGGTCCTTTCGTTGTCTGATGAGTCTAAAAAAACACATCTCCATTTTGGAAAAGAGATGAGGACTAACAGCTTTCCTTAAGATCCTCTATCAGCGTTATAGTCAGACAGGTTTTTAGGTTTCTCCTTTTAATCATCTTTGGCTTTCACAAACAGAGAATAAAACAATGAAAAAAGATTTGGACCAAACCAAAAACAAACCATTCACTCTTTCCCACTTTAAACAGAAACTATAAATTTCAAAGCAAACTGCGTTTTTTCTTGGTTTCTCACCTTGAAGGAGATACTGTCTGGGCCTCTGGGTATTTCCAGTCAGAGTAAATGTTGCCTTTGGGGGGAGAGTAAACTGGAGGAGGTTCTTCATCTGAGCTGTCGGGTTCCTGAGTTCGCTCCAGGATCTAGCAACAGAGACATCTCTACTTATTACTCCTCTTCTTTAGTAAATCGAACAATTTATAGACATTTCTTTATTTTCTGAGATCTGTTTCAGTTGGCCTAAAATCGGAAACACTTTCTCATCAGATGAAAAAGACAGATTTATGTCAACACAGACAAACTAAACGGAACTTTTTGCAGGTAAAGATTTCCGCAATAAAAGCAAACAACGGAGCGGCAAGCAAATGTCTGGTTCCTTCAATTCCTTCAGGTATGTGTTTGTTTGTTTGAGGAGAACCGATACAGTAGCAGTCATTCAAAATGGCCCTGGGAAGACTTTTGACTGGGCCACGGCCCTTTAGTCTTGGTGTTTATTACCTCCCCCAAGGAGGTTCTGTTTTTAGGAGAGTTTGTGTCTTTGTACAGCATCACTTCAAAAGTTATGGATGGATTTTAATCAAATTTGTATCCAAAATGTCCCTCATGCCAAGAAACAGTCCATTAAATGTTGATGATGATACAGATCATAACCTGGATACAGGAATGTTTTAATGGATTCGTTAACGTTGTGAGATGGGGATATTTGAAGGAAACAAGCAGTTTCCTACAAAACCAGAGGGAGGCAGCAAAGACTATTGACAGCCTCAGCGTCTGACTCAAAAATCTGGAGGAATTTTACTGAAGACACAAACACAAGAAAAGAAACATTGTCGGTTTGTTAGTGGTATCAGGTAAAAACTTAGAGAATGGATATATTATAGACATTTTCTTCATTTTTTCCCCACCAGAGGTGAAGGAGGAAGTGATAGGAAGATGGACAAGGGTCAGCACCCCCCTCCTTTGACATCTTATGCAAAACATTACTTGTAGCCTGTGTGACTTTTTTACTAATTTATAAGGTCAGTACATCTCTGCAGTGCAAGTGCAATAGTCCAAGTCAACTACTGTGTAGTCTTCCATTAGCTCTCCACTGTGCAGATATTTATATCTAAGGGAAAAATATTCCAGGACATTACAACTTTTTTCTTTTTTTAATGCTTTTTTGATACTATATACATCCATCCATCCATCTTCCGGGGGTCGGGTCGCGGGGGTAGCAGCTAGGGTGGCCATTTCTATAGCACAAAAAGGAGGACATTGTGCGGCATATCAATAAATTACTAAGGTGTACATAAGAATCGGGTAAAGTCACATTTATAGCACAATTCTTAGTAGTTTAAAGAGGATGCTTGTGTAGCTGAATAGAACAAAATATTAAAGAAATGTAAAAAAGAATTGGTTCCCAGCATTTGTATTTATTTAATACATTGTGGTGTTTAAAAAGTGACCATTTTTTAACACGATTAATTTGCGCAGAACTGCTGCAATTGATCATAAAGCAGTTGTTTGGAAAAGAAGCTCAAGAAAGAGCTAGAGAATAGGACGATGCAAACTGCAAAAAGTGGCTGGAAAAGAGGAATTCATGACATGGCTGCAGCCTGTCGAGAGTAAAGATGATTTCACCATGTTCTCTATCTATCCATATATATATATATATAAACTTGAGTCATGGAACTGTGCTTACAGCTCCTTATTTCATGTAAACTAATAACTTGTGTACATGATACTTGTTGATGGCATTAAAATTATTTCTAATAGCATTAAAAGAGCATTAAATTAGAGTTCCTCATTCCTGTATAAAACATGTGAACGCTTAATTTAATCTGACATATTAAAAAAATCCCCATCATCATCCAGCAGATGTTCAGTTTCTGCCCAAATATTTTCTTTCTGTTGTGGATTTTTGTAACAGGGATAACTAGGATCATACATAGTTCTCTGTTTATTCTCTGCTTCCAAACTCATCATCTCATCCATTCCTGCAATAAGAATTTTCTTTTAAAGTTGTGAGATTCACTCTAGAATCTCACAACTTCTTCCTGGTCTGTTGAAGCACCAATAGTCTGCATCCAATTATTTAATTAATTGCTCTTAGTTTTTGGGAATATATACAAACTATGCTCTAATTTCTAGATACCGATCTGTTTTTACTATAATTTAATTTGACAAACCGGGTCTTCTCTACATTCTTTTTTCTGTTTGGTGCGATTGCAATAGCGGGTCTTGATCTGGACGGACCGGAGGGGAGCAAAAAATAGCTCAGCTCCGTATTTTGACGGTGAAGGACGGAGAAGACGTACGTGGGCGGTGACGAGCGGAGGATGTGGAACAGCTCTCATTGATTTACATGACAGACAAGTACTCCGTACGTGGGCGGGGCGGAGCGCTGACGGAGTATGTGGAATCTGGGGGTAAAGGAGGACAAATACACGTCCGGCTGGGTGCAGCGCCGGACGCCGGACAGTGCAATGAAAATCCGGACTGTCCGCCCTAAAGCCGGACATCTGGCCACCCTAGTAGCAGCTTCAGTAGGGAGGCCCAGACATCCCTCTCCCTAGCCACTTGGGCCAGCTCCTCCGGGGGAATCCCAAGGCACTCCCAGGCCAGCAGAGAAACATAGTCCCTCCATCGTGTCCTGGGTCTCCCCCTGAGCCTCCTTCCTGTGGGACGTGCCTGGAACACCTCACCAGGGAGACGCCCAGGAGGCATCCTAATCAGATGCCCGAGCCAACTGGCTCCTCTCGATGTGGAGGAGCAGCGGCTGTACTCTGAGTCCTCCCCGGATGACTGAGCTCCTCACCCCAGACACACAACGGAGAAAACTAATTTCAGCCGCTTGTATCCAGGATCTCGTTCCTTCAGTCATGACCCAAAGCTCATGACCATAGATGAGGGTAGGAACGTAGATCGACCAGTAAATCGAGAGCCTTGCTTTTTGGCTCAGCTCTCTCTTCACCACAACAGACCGGTACAGCGCACGCTTCACAGCAGACGCTGTACAAATCCACATATCGTTCTCTCACTCCATCTTCCCCTCAGTTGTGAATAAGGCCCCAAGATACTTCAACTCCTCCACTAGGGGCAGTACATCCTCCCAAACCCGGAGAAGGCACTCTACCCTTTTCCGGCTCAAGACCATGGTCTCGGATTTGGAGGCACTGATCCTCTTGCCATTCTGATCCTGGGCTGAAGAAGCTGGTTCTTGGGACATGGAATGTCACCTCTCTGGTGGGGAGGGAGCCTGAGGTAGTGCGCGAGGTTGAAAGGTTTTGACTAGAGATAGTTGGACTTACCTCGACGCATGGCTCTGGAACCAGTCTCTTTGAGAGGGGCTGGACATTCTTCCACTCTGGAGTTGCCCCTGGTGAGAGGCGCAGAGCAGGAGTGGGCATACTTGTTGCCCATCATCTTGGTGCCTGTACGTAGGGGTTCACCCCGGTGAACGAGAGGGTTGCCTCCCTCCGCATACGTGTGTGGGGACTGGTTCTGACCGTTTGTGCTTATGCGCCAAACAGCAGTTCAGATTACCCACCCTTTTTGGAGTTTTAGGGGGGGTACTGGAGAGTGCTGCTCCTGGGGACTCCCTTGTTCTTCTTGGGGACTTCAACGCTCACGTGGGCAATGACACTGAGACCTGGGGAGGCGTGGTTGGAAGGAATGGCCCACCTGACCTGAACTCGAGCGGTGTTCTGTTGTTGGACTTCTGTGCTCGTCATGTATTGTCCATAACGAACACCATGTTCAAGCATAAGGGCGTCCATATGTGCTCTTGGCACCAAGACACCCTAGGCCGTAGTTCAATGATGGACTTTGTTTTTGTTTTATCTAACCTGCGGCTGCATGTCTTGGACACTCGGGTAAAGAGAGGGGCGGAGCTCTCCACCAACCACTACCTGGTGGTGAGTTGGCTCCAATGGTGGGGGAGGACGCCAGTCAGACCTGGTACACCCAAACGTATTCTGAGGGTCTGCTGGGGACATCTGGCAGAGTCCCCTGTGAGAAGGAGCTTGAACTCCCATCTCCGGCAGAGCTTTGAACGTTCCGAGGGAGGTGGAGGACATCGAGTCTGAGTGGACAATGTTCCGTGCCTCTATTGTTGAGGCGGCTAGTTGGAGCTGTCGCTGCAAGGTTGTCGGTGCATGTCGGCGGCAACCCTTGAACACGCTGGTGGACACTAACGGTTAGAGAAGCTGTCAAGCTGCAGAAGGAGTCCTATCTGGCTTTATTGACCTGTGGGACTCCAGAAGCAGCTGATGTGTACCGGCAGTCAAAGCAGCAGGTGGCTCGGCTGGTTGCTGAGGCAAAAACTCGGGTGTGGGAAGACCTACATTGTCCGTCATATTTTTATTTTCAATTACATTTTGATTTAACTCTTTGTACTCTATGTAAGCTACTGGAACCAGAATTTCCCTGAAGGAGTAATCCCAAGGCATAAAAAAAGTTGATTCTAAGTCTAAGGTGTGCCTCATAACAAAGAACATCTCAATTAAATGTTGCAATACTCCAGATCATGTGCCAGTTATAGCTATTGCAGTAAGTCACAATCTGGGGCAAAATTTGCAGCTTAGTGGCAGTCTGTGCTCTCCGAGTGCTTTTCTAGCTCTACTTACACTATATTGCCAAAAGTATTTGCTCACCTGCCTTGACTCACATATGAGCTTAAGTGACATCCCGTTCCTAATCCATAGGGTTCAATATGACGTCGGTCCACCCTTTGCAGCTAGAACAGCTTCAACTCTTCTGGGAAGGCTGTCCACAAGGTTTAGGAGTGTGTTTATGGGAATTTTTGACCATTCTTCCAGAAGCGCATTTGTGAGGTCGCACACTGATGTTGGACGAGAAGGCCTGGCTCTCAGTCTCCGCTCTAATTCATCCCAAAGGTGTTCTATCGGGTTGAGGTCAGGACTCTGTGCAGGCCAGTCAAGTTCATCCACACCAGACTCTGTCATCCATGTCTTTATGGACCTTGCTTTGTGCACTGGTGCACAGTCATGTTGGAAGAGGAAGGGGCCAGCTCCAAACTGTTCCCACAAAGTTGGGAGCATGGAATTGTCCAAAATGTCTTGGTATGCTGAAGCATTCAGAGTTCCTTTCACTGGAACTAAGGGGCCAAGCCCAGCTCCTGAAAAACAACCTCACACCATAATCCCCCCTCCACCAAACTTTACACTTGGCACAATGCAGTCAGACAAGTACCGTTCTCCTGGCAACCGCCAAACCCAGACCCGTCCATCAGATTGCCAGATGGAGAAGCGCGATTCGTCACTCCAGAGAACGCGTCTCCACTGCTCTAGAGTCCAGTGGCGGCGTGCTTTACACCACCGCATCCGACGCTTTGCATTGCACTTGGTGATGTATGGCTTGGATGCAGCTGCTCGACCATGGAAACCCATTCCATGAAGCTCTCTGCGCACTGTTCTTGAGCTAATCTGAAGGCCACATGAAGTTTGGAGGTCTGTAGTGATTGACTCTGCAGAAAGTTGGCGACCTCTTCGCACTATGCGCGTCAGCATCCGCTGACCCCGCTCCGTCAGTTTACGTGGCCTACCACTTCGTGGCTGAGTTGCTGTCGTTCCCAAACACTTCCATTTTCTTATAATACAGCTGACAGTTGACTGTGGAATATTTAGGAGCGAGGAAATTTCACGACTGGATTTGTTGCACAGGTGGCATCCTATCACAGTTCCACGCTGGAATTCACTGAGCTCCTGAGAGCGACCCATTCTTTCACAAATGTTTGTAAAAACAGTCTGCATGCCTAGGTGCTTGAATTTATACACCTGTGGCCATGGAAGTGATTGGAACACCTGATTCCAATAATTTGGATGGGTGAGCAAATACTTTTGGCAATATAGTGTATTTCAACCAGAGAAAAGGCAACAAACAGAGATCATAAAGGCAAAACAAAGCTTTGTATTGCTGATAAACCATGTCCGTCACAGGCCAACGCCGTCCTACACCTGTGACGTGTTCCTTAGGGTAACCTTTGGTCCAGGTTTTGGCCTTTTTTTTACTCTGAACGTCCAATAAAATACTGGTGGCAATGATCTGACGTGCATCACTGCAGCTGTTCTTTGGGGAAAATCTGTGGTTGATCAGCGAAACAGTTTTATTTGCAAATTTGGAGAAATAAAATGACGCATTAGCCCCAATTACACTACCCTTTTGAAACCGTGCTGAAATTGGTCCAAACACAGCAACTGAGACAACTGTTGAGTGTAAATGGTACGCAGAACTGAAGCGAACCGTGCCAGACTCTACCGAACCACACTTAGATGGTACTAGTTCATTAGCAGGGCTCGGCGCAGTTGAGTTCTGGCGCGGTTCTCAGATAACAAAGAGCGCATCAGCAGACCGCGTCATTGCCTTACAGTCAGCCTCCCTAATCATGAAATTCATAAAAATACTAGCTTCTCTACAGTGCCACCAGTGATGATTCTGCTTAGCAGTGTGATGAACCTTAACGTCGTTGTTTCCTGCGTCTGTTAGCACTGATTAGACTAGCGTTTGTTGTATTGACTTCCCAAAAGCCAACTCTGTCGATTAAATTCACCAAAGGCTGCCTTCTTCGCCTGAATCTCTGCAAACTTCCTTAATGTTTTGGGCGCCGCCCTGTTGATTTGCTTGTTTACGTATAGAGAGCAGTAGTACTGTAGATCACCACTAGAAAGGCTAGGAACCGTGCTAACGTGATGTGTAAACGGGCGTCAGGAACTAAGCTCGGCACGGATCAGTTTTCAGAGGGTAGTGGAAATGGGGCTATTATCATTGACTCGTCCTGTTAACTGATTCTAAGGGCTGGTTATCCTCCCGCAGTAGTGTCGCAATGAGCTCATTGCCAATATTTTATGTGTCCAATTATATTTATATGTCAAATACTGAAGCGTGGTGCGCTATGTTATTCCACGCCACAATGTCAGAGGGACAATCAGGAACTAGCTGATGAGCTGATAGAGCGGATGTAGATTTGACCAATCAGAGCCCTCCTGTGAACGGCACTGTCTGCCGTCCCCTACAATTTTGGAGAGCTGCAGCAGAGTCTTTGCGGAAGGGGCGGAGTCACATTTGCATTCACTGCAACCTGGTTTCTGAGTATAAATCAGCCTTAAGCAGTAGTTCTTTAGATGTTTGGAGGGTCTAATAAACGTTTTACCTTTAGTGGGTTGTTTTTAGTTGTTTTTTTTCCAACTAAAATTTGACTTTCTGTTTGAGGAAGTATCATTTCACATGTAACTTTGTCATAACTGCATCAAAGTGCATCTAGATAAGCCAGAAAGTCGACCCAGAACCGTTCCTCTCAGAGCCTGAGGTGAGCTGTGGTGGAAAAGAGGAGAAAAGAAGGCAATGAAAACCTTTTCACTGACCTCCACTGGGATGCTGTCGTCAGAGTCCGAGCTATCATCCGAGTTATGTCCTTCAATGCTCATCTGCAGCAGCTGGTCGATGGTGGCGTCCACGGCTCCTTTGTTGGATCGTAAAACGCACTCAATCACCTCATAGTCCATGGAGGGAAACATTATCTTGAAGTCCTCCATGGCCTGATTGAACTCCAGACGCCTGACTGGCCGGTTGGGCCTGCTGTTGTTGAGCTGGCCTCCAGTTCCACCACCTCCATCTCTACCTCCGCTGCTCTCAGAGCCTTTATTGCTGCCGCCGCTGCGCCTGAACAGGCTGGTCATCCTTTCAGATCGGCCGGCTCAGGAGCTGCCAAGCCACTGATGAAATGGATCCACCTTTCACTCAAAAACCAAACCACTGATTACCTTCAGTCTGGCAGGATTTTCAAACATTCCTTCGAAGATTTCACTCGGAACCAAACCTGGACGATCTCTTAGCTTCGAGGAAAACTTGAGGTGTAGATTTCATGGAACATGATACCAGAGTCATCACCTAAAACGAGAACAGACAGATTGAATGTGCTGCTGATGTTTATTGGGAACGGTCCAGTTTCACTTCATGGAAACATCATTTACACAAAGCAACATTTAAGCAGTGATTGGATTAGAAGTGAGGCAGCTTCCATGTTCATATCAGACCCTGCGAAAGGGAGGCCAGATCAGTGCTTATTACCTCACAAACCAAACATCTGTCTCCCTGCAGGTCTTTCTTACTTCACTATACGCAATAACAGTCCTGTGCAATAATTGTAATTTTGTGCTGAGCAGCATTAAAAAATGATTGGGGGAGTGGGGGCCTAGTGGTTAGGGCATAAAGCTTTGAATTCAGAGGTTCTGAGTTCAAGACAGGCTGCCACTCTAGGTCCCTCAGCAAAGACCCTTAACCCCACACTGCTCTCCAATAGCCACACAATGGCAGCCCACTGCTCCCCAAGGGGAGGGGTTAAATGCAGAGAGTGAATTTCGTTACTCTGTACTTGTGAGAGCAGAATGACAATAAAAACTGGGGAAAAAAACACAACAATTTGAAAGTACTGTCGATGTATGCAATGTGGTCATATACTATTATATTCTTCTTATTTTACACTGTTTATATGGGAAGGGTTCAATTTTACATATTTTATACTGTCTTATATTTTATTTTGTTCTATTGAACTTAAAATCATATTTTTCTCTCTGCTGTAAACGGTTGCACTGCAAGAAAATAATTTCCCGAAAGGGATTAATAAAGTAATTATGATTCTGAGATGATTCTAGTTGCATTGTTTGAAGATTATTTTATTAAAATCTTGATTTTAAGTTTAGAAATCTTTAGTTTTTTGAGTCTCTTAGATGAAACATAGAGGCATAAATCTGTGACTTGTAGTCAGATAGATCAGAGGCGTCAAGTAACAAAGAACTTAAGTATAAATGTTGGCTATCAATACTTTGGCATATAATATTATTTGGCTTCGCATTTCCCTGCGTACAGAGTAGCTATGTGGAGGGGGAGAGACACAGGCAGCTACTTCGATAGATGTTTCAGTAAAAGTTAGGAGACTGGTTGGTTAAAAAAAATAAAAATTAGAGATGCAACGGAAAAGTCCGTTTGTTACACATACGGAGCTTTTTCAGCTAAAAATGGCAGCAGATTGTACATTTATATAAGTTAAAAAAGCTGGGCTTCTCAGAGGATCATTACTCAGAGTTACAGATTAAAATGAACACAGATCTGTTGTTTTCTGATTGAACAGAGAATCAGACTGCAGAGCTTCTAGAGATCTGGAAAATGATATTCTCAGGCATCATTATATTAGTAGGCAGGCTCATAAATCTGTTTTTAAGCAGAGCAGAGACACAATTAGGGAGAGCTGCAGATTTAAAGGTGAAATAGATTTACTGGGATATGCAACATGCAATAAAACATATCTCCAAGTTTACAAGAAAAAATACGCAATGCTATAATAAAATTCAACATATCTTTTTGTCTTTTGTAGTTCAACGAGACTCAGAAATAGCAGTGCAAGAAACCCAGAGAGAGTCAGAATTAAAGAATTAAAATAAAAGTATAAGAAACCTGCAGGAATTAAAGCACAAATAATAAAAATCTGTGTACAAATATAAGGTTCAAATTATAGACTTTGGCTGTCGATGACATATGGGACGAATTCCTAAATGGGCTCTATGCACAGCTCCACTACTTCCTGAATTTAAGGCAGCTCCTTTGTTTCCTGTCTTTCATTACTGGACGAACTGATTAATCCAGGTGTGTCTGGCCAGTTACTTAGGTTATACACACCTGGATTAATCAGTGCATCCAATCATGAAAGACAGGAAACAAAGGAGCTGCCTTAATTTCAGGAAGTAGTGGAGCTGTGCATAGAGCCTATTAGATTTTGCTGCTTGTGAAGGAGGATAATCACTGATGCAGCTTAAAGGGAAGCCATGCATGGATGGATGGAAGGAAGTGAAGTTGTGTCCATAATAGGGATGCAGGATATATTGATGTAGTATGGACACAACTTCGACTCCATCCATCCATCCAGCCATGCATGGCTTTCCTTTAAGCTGCATCATCAATATCGGCTGTTTTTCGTCTTTTTATACATCAATAGTTCTGAACGCATTAAAAGCAGGCATCTGTCTATAACTATACATATCAGTGTACTGTGGTTCTCTTGTGTTCTCAACAATATGAAAGCATTCAATAAAAATAGGTTTCTCTTTTTTGGTAAATATAAACACTATTGAAAGCGTTCGGGTGGAGTAGCTGTAGGTCCATCAGCCAAGTTACAGCCTTGGGTTAGAGCTATAATCAATAAAAAACTGCATTATGTGCATCAAAATAAAAAGTATCAGCTGTTTGTAAAGCATGAACCGTGAAATCCCAGATTTGTAATTGGTTATTTTTCTTTCGAAGACATCACAGTGGGACTTTCTTTGTTATTATGGCATAAAAAAATGCTAAATATAACAAAAATCCCTTGATATTTTTATCTCTAATGTGCAAACAGCTGTTCGCTGCACAGTTGCTTTCAGTGGTGTTCTTTGAAGCTTGGACTACCTCTCTGTTTGACTGGGTTGATGCTAACTGGCTAAAGGTACCTAGCTGTCATCATTAATAAAAGCCTGGAAAGCTGTCCAGGCAAAGCGTGAAACATCCAAACAAACACATATTAGCTCCATCTGACAGCAGGGCGCAGCTCTGAATGCTAAAGCAGGATGCAGACCTCAGCTGTTATAGAGTCAGTTTCTATCTTTTAAAGAAACAAATATAACCTAAATATGCTCTCACCTCACAATGCTAACGGCCATGCTAACTGTTCGGGTTACTTACTGATTATTATACAAAGTCGGGTCTGCAGCCGCTTCCTGGCCGGAAGTTTGAACTTTTATCCGATCAAACGGTCCCTCCCGCTGAGGAATGCAGAGGCAGACTGGGGGGGGTTGTGTTATTGACGTTATGGTTACAGAGTAAACAGGGCTCTACTAAAGCCCCACAGCCTGAAAGCCTTTAAGGTCCGTGGATTCAACTTCCGGTTGACGCATGCGCACAAGCAAACTGGTCCGAGTTTCCTTCCGGTTCATAACTGTCTAATAAACAACACATTTTCATGAGTTGAATATCTAAACCAATCGCGTACTTTTGTCCTTTTGCTTGCTTTAAACACGCCACCTCCATGTTTATAACCCAGAGAAATAAGAGGCGTTACCCATGGCAACCAGTCTGGTTTGACCACAAGTTAGCACACTACTGCCACCTAGTGGTGTGGGGTTTGAGTTGGACTCATATGATGCTCTTTCTCAAATATATTAAACTGTTCCCTGAAAGCTTTAACTTACTCTACATTTTTTAATAATATATATTTTCCTATTGTAAATCCGTCTGAAAACAAAACAATTGTTCTTCGCTCACTAACTTGCAATAGTATCATATATAAAATCCTGTGTGCTGATCAAACACAGTATTTAGTGCTTCCGTTTAGCCTGGTGTACCCAAATTCTTTCATCCTTTTATCCAGCTTTAATTTCTTTTGACCCATTTTCATCTCTCACTCAATTTGTTTTTTTAGTTTCACAAAAACTGGAAACTTACTTCCAGTCTTTGCTGCCTTATCTTCAGGGTATCCATTAAGTGATAAGTTCAGATCAATAATGTTCACGTTGTACACTGAATGTTTTAAGATGAAAAGTTGGTTTTAAACATTTAATCAAGAACTGCAATCTGAACAATTGACCAATTTTCATGGTCTTATAAACATCGGCTATCTAAAACTGTTTATACACTTTTCTTCCCAGTTTAATGCAATAGTAAAATGTGTCCAACTCCATTAAAGTCTGTATAAATTAGTAACTAAAATTCTGACTCAGATTTCTATCTTGTATGAGGTTTAATTGATTTATTTATTCCTCATATCTCCTTTCCAGAAAGAGGAGATATGATGGGCACTAATGTTCTCTCTCAGCAGAACAGATGACCCTCCAACCTGCACTGCAGAGTTCTTCTTGATCAAAACAAATAAACCCAAGGAGTTTGATGCATTTGATCAGAAAGATGTTTTTTTCAAGTCACAAAACATGTTCGAGAAAGAGTCTTTAACATCAAACAAAGAAAATCATGAAAAATAAGCATTTCAAGCAGCTAATCTCTAAACTATTGAGAAAGTGTTTAACTGCAAGCAGGAATTCATAATGAAAAAGAGTATTCATAAGTTACTGAGATAAATTAACTTTCCGATATTCTAAATGGTCTTAATATGACTAAAGAACATTTTGATTTAAGTAGGGTGACCATATTTTCATTTGGGAAAACCAGGACACCTTGGAGCTGGGGGGGGGGGGGATTGAAAGAACAAATGTCTCATCATCGGGATTTGCTCCGTGATGAGAGGAAATGTTACTTGTTACTAGTTGTTTTAATGGTTATTGAGTCAGATATGTGGCGGTAATGTTTGGTTTATCTAAAGGTTTTTATCTGTGACTGTAAATGGGTTTGGCTGTAATTTAAGGATAGATTCTAATATATCTGCAGAGTGGGAACTATAAATCTGATAGTTTAGTTTTATTGTTGTTTTGCACAATATGCTTAACTAAGTATTTTTTGTTGTTGAATATTAGAGATTTTGCAGATACATTTTGTAGATACATTGTTTAGATTTACTTATATATTTCTAACCCTTTTATAGAATAGAATGGAAAATCCCTTTATTGTCCCACAATGGGCAGATTTAAAGCAGCAGAAAGATTATTGAAAATGGTCACACAAATGAGGACCTTAGAAAAATGTCTAAGAATAACATAATAGGGAAGAGGTAAAATATATAAAATAAAATTCTGTAAAGTGTTTTAACAATCTAAAACTGTGCACCTGGAGTATTAATAACCAATATGCAGCTATGGACATTTTTACAGTAATGGATATTTGAAAATAGCAGCAACATCAGAGATGTGCAGAATGACAGCAGCAGGTTATTTAACTGACTAAGGTTTCTATCATTACATTTGATTTGATTTGTTCCTGCTCCCGGTGGTTGGAACCTTTATTCCACTCTGGATTCTTGTGAGTGTAGTCTTTGTTCACTTTAACTTTTTAAAAAATAAATAAAGAAACAGTTTTGATTTCATTCTTTTCCTGCTTTGTGTGTCAACTTTCACGGTTGCTAAGCAACAGAGCATACGGCGGTAAAACCCGCCGAAGGGTGGACCTGTTTGAATTCACAGACAAAACTCTCCCGGCCTCCTTATTTTCAAAGACTTCGAAGGATCCAGTCTAGGTAGACCGCGTCCTTGGAGGATGCAGCCCAGGTTTTCGAACAGAGCCTCTGATTAAGAACAGGGCTGCCCGCACTGACGCGGCTCAGGGATTACGTCACACGGAGCGTTGTGCACAGTGAAATCAGGACATTTCCTCACTTTCTAAAAAAAACCTGGGACGCCCGGGACAGGACGTGAAATACGGATATGTCCCGGGAAATACGGACGTTTGGTCACCCTAGATTTAAGTGTACCTTTAAGGAGAAAAGTGAAACATTAAGAATAAAAATAGGCATCAATAATACATTTTTAGATTTTAACTGACCAAACATGCAGCCGTCAGTTTAGTCCAGGTCCTAAAACAGCATTTGGAAAACAGGACGCAATAAAAACCAACCAAAAAAAAAACAAGACGGACCATAAACACTTAATAACTTTATTATTTCCCTTTTGGATCTGTACAATCAAATCAAACGTCAAGTGATCCTAGCAAAGTCAGATATGTACAGGTTATTGAAATGCCTTCAGTTATAGCTGTTTTGACCCCCATTTAGATCCAATTAGAGGTCGTCTAGTGAAGTTAAGCTATCCTCGGTTTCATGATTGAAAATGCAATGGGTGGGGTGGGGGTGGGGGACTCAGAAAAGACAAAAAAAAACAAAAAAAAACAACCGTCTCGTTCTCCAGCACTGCAGAAAATTAGTCCCATCTTATTTACAGAGAAATGAGCAGAGCCATGACAGATTCTTCAGTGCTGAGTGATTGACTCTTCAGACAAAGCGAATGAAAGCAGCCGCGGGTCCGACAGGTCAGAGGACACAGATTACACCGTGCCGATCCAATAACTCGTTTTCTGCTTCTGAGTCACTTTTCCTTCCGTTTCACTCGACTATCCGTGTTTTTATCAGCGGCTAAATAAAGCCCATCGTGAAACAGATTTTAAACGTCAAATAGAAAACATGTTTCCCGTTGCCATGGTGACTCCACCCCTCAGAGTAAATGAAAACAAAGCCGCCTTATTGCCAGAACGTCAGTTTCAGTTCTTTTACAGTAGCTGCATCAAATTAAAAGCGCATCATTTACTAGAGTAGGCATTATTGCACAGGGAAGATCTGAAACTGTTTCACAGGAAATATGACGACAAACGGTTCGGTTTAAAGTGGTCCTCACTGTTCTGAGAGCAGCAGCGTTTTAGTGCGACTCACTCTGTGGATGGGTCCCTTTAGATCAGCGGCTCGTTTCACCGAGGCTGACCAGGGGTCAGTGTTGATCCACAGCAGGCTGAGCTTCATACTTCCTACTCTTACATTCCTGCAACCTGATGCACGGCTGCTTAAGATGTTTCATTCTGGGGTAACTGGTTTTAGTGCTGGAACGGTACCATGGGAACAACTATAAATAAGGATTGATCTGAGGATCAAATGTAAATCTAGAAAAACAAACAACTTTCAAGTTTTAGTTCAGGACTTTTCTGCATTGATTTACTTTTTCAATAACATCAATATATTTCTGGTTAACACTACAGCCTCATCCAAAAAAACACCATTTTGGATCAAAGTCGACTTTAAAAAGAATCAGTTTTTTTAATCTTTTCTGGTCTAATATCCACGAATCAACCTGAAACTTGAGCTGCTGAGGAGCTCCGGCACCAACTGGGATTTCATTAAGGTTTATGGTAGCTCAGAATTAAATGGCGGCTTTAAGATGATTTGTTCTAAGTAGCGTTTCTCCGACATCAGACCCACGCACCATAACAAAGAAAAATTTTCAAAAAACGATGACAGTGAAAGAAATAAACACCATTAGGTTTCCTGTTTGGATGTCAGTTTGACCTGGAGCAGCAGAATTCAATCATTTCATATTTAATCCTGGAAAACTGTCTTTTTTTTTAAATAGAAGTTCTGCTGTTGACCAATCAGAAGGTTCTGATCCTGCAGAAAACCTCCACAAACGGCAGCCAATGTGTCGGATAGCGCTCATCTACCTCTGAACATCTCAACAACATGAATGTTCAATAATGAGCCAGCTTTTACTCAACGAGTCTTTTTAAGAAAAAAATAGAGTGCTTTTTCATGGGAAGTGTGTAAATGTGGGCTGGTCCACCAACGTGCACCAAAGACCGGGGAGGAAAGGCAGGCTGTCCGCTCGTCTCCCTCTACTACAGTCTAGAAAGGTCCACAGGAAGCTGCCTGGTTGTCAGCCCAGCATTCCCACAGCGTTCCACAACAGACAGACCTGCTAGAGAACAGTCAGGACGTCATGCATGCGTCTGTCCTCTAAGCCAGCATGATGAGCCACTGTTCCAGGGGTTTATGCTAGAATGGGAGCAAAAAATATATAATTCTGGAGCCTTTATTGTTACAATACCTCTTCTTTTTTTAAAATTATATGGTTTTTAGACCAAAACTGAAGTCCATCTTGGAGAGGTGCCGTTTCCCTGTTGACTTTGCCTGAGGATAAAGTCTCTCTGCTTTCCGTTGGGTTGAAGAGTGGAAGAGCAACGAAACGATCTTCTCAGTGGTGTTCCTGGTGGGTGGGATCCCCAGGATGAGCTGCTGACAACAGGAATGAGCTTCCTTCATGACTTCCTCTGGGATGGAGCGGAACTCAGAACCCATCCGCCCACACAGCCAGGCCCCTCTCTGCCAAGGTGCGGTTCACCGAGACCACCTGCAGAACAGAACCAGGGGTAAGAACCGGAACCAAGCTTTCTGAACTTTGGTACAGAGGTCCGATTATGTGTTCTGTGTCTAAAGACTTCATGACGAATCCTTCTAGAGTTTGTTCAAGAACCTAACTAGTACGAAACCCCACGCACACGGGGTCCGACTGCAGAACCGAACCCGACGCACACGGGGTCCGACTGCAGAACCTAACCCCACGCACACGGGGTCCGACTGCAGAACCGAACCCGGCGCACACGGGGTCCGACTGCAGAACCGAACCCCACGCACACGGGGTCCGACTGCAGAACCGAACCCCACGCACACGGGGTCCGACTGCAGAACCGAACCCGGCGCACACGGGGTCCGACTGCAGAACCGAACCCGGCGCACACGGGGTCCGACTGCAGAACCTAACCCCACGCACACGGGGTCCGACTGCAGAACCTAACCCCACGCACACGGGGTCCGACTGCAGAACCGAACCCGGCGCACACGGGGTCCGACTGCAGAACCGAACCCCACGCACACGGGGTCCGACTGCAGAACCTAACCCCACGCACACGGGGTCCGACTGCAGAACCGAACCCGGCGCACACGGGGTCCGACTGCAGAACCGAACCCGGGCGCACACGGGGTCCGACTGCAGAACCGAACCCGGCGCACACGGGGTCCGACTGCAGAACCGAACCCCACGCACACGGGGTCCGACTGCAGAACCTAACCCCACGCACACGGGGTCCGACTGCAGAACCGAACCCCACGCACACGGGGTCCGACTGCAGAACCGAACCCCACGCACACGGGGTCCGACTGCAGAACCTAACCCCACGCACACGGGGTCCGACTGCAGAACCGAACCCGGCGCACACGGGGTCCGACTGCAGAACCGAACCCGGCGCACACGGGGTCCGACTGCAGAACCGAACCCGGCGCACACGGGGTCCGACTGCAGAACCGAACTAGACGCACATTCTTGAGCCAAAAGGTGGATCCAGACGTACCTCATCTCCTACCAGGTTCCACAGGTGAACTAGGGGCAGTCCCGTGTTGTTGTCATAGTTTGAGACCTTCCAGAGAAACGCAGACAAACTGTTAGCATGAAGCGGTTCTGTTACTCTGAGGGGATTCAGGCATAAAGCCGGTCATACCTGAGCTAGCAAGGCAACGCCTCTGGTCAGTTCTTCTAATGCGGTTGTAGCGTCTGTGGAGAAACAATCCTCTCCTGTTGAATAAAGAGAACTTATTAAACAACGAGGCGCCGGCTTTCTTCACTCCAGAAGGTTAAGAGGCAGAAAATGTGTGTCCAAGGCCTCTTCCATGATACCAAAGAAAGCATCATTACAACATTTCATTTCCCTTTGGGGTCAATAAACCAAAGATGAGACACTTAATGACGGACTGCAGAGATATAATTGGGGCTGGGAAATTAGAATTATATCCTGTTTACAGGAAAATATAACATCAGCATTTTCCAAATCAATCAATGAAGTCAAACTATATGTAATCTATGTGTTAATTTATAAATTATGCCGTCTAAATTAATAATTTATTGTTCTGCATAATATCCAACAAACAGAGACTGCTGAACGATCGGCAAGCAAACAAAACAGATCTTTCTTCCCATGAAACGAAAACTGGTTCATAAAAAACAAGAATTCTGTGCCTGCCTTCCCTACGATTTTTTTGCCCTTTTCGGGACGATTCTCCAGTCATGCAGGAATTTTTCTATCTGCCGACTTTCAGCCTGATGGTGCGTCCTGTAGTGTACAGGGTGTAACGGGGGGCGATCAGCCTCCAACGACCACCTCCCTGATCAGGAATCATAAGGTTGGGAGAAAATCAAACATGTTGGAAATTCAGTTGGCCGTTGTAAGGTGGTCGTGGGCAAATCGCTCAGTGCGCAAACAAGGATTCTTCTTCTTCCTCTCAGACAAAAAAAACTGAAACATGGCGGGGGTGCAATGAGTGAAAAGGAGTTCTTTCTGTAAAACTGACAGACCGTAGTAGCCACGTTTGCTCTGCCAAGTTTTTGTCCAAATACTTCCACGCCTTTTCTCTTTAGGGCTTTCAGGACAAAATTGCCCAAATTGCCAAGGCAGCGCGTTTCACTCTAGTGAGCTGAATATTCCTCTTCTACTCGTCATCTCACTGCGGAGCTGATGTGCAGCGTGAGCAGGTAGATTGCTGAGTGCAACGATTGAAAAATAAAATCCTACAGCGTATGTCTGGCTTAATGTGAATAATTATTAAAATGCAATATCTGCTTCCCTTGATAGTATCACTGCTGCCCCCCTCTGGTTAAGAAGGGAACTGCTTGTTCAGGAGGCAGTGAATCGCAACGACATCTGGTAGGGGAGGCCAATGATTGACTGTTTGGTTTATCAGGCCATAAAGGCAATTTTTCCTTTTTTCTTTTTTTTATAGGAATAACAGACTAAATATGAGATTAAATGTGTAATTTAATCTGGCCCCGATGAATGAGACATAAGATTGTTGATGAAAACAACCAGTTGTTTTTGAAACCATATGTCTTTGCCTATTGGCCAACGCTCTGACCAATGAGCGCAACCGACTGTGACGTAGTAACCGTGACAGAAAGCTGGTGGGGGAGTGTAAACAAACAGCCTCTGGGTAAAATGGCGAATACGTCCTTCTTAAAAATGAACTAGCATAGAGCCTCTTCCTGCTCACGTTTCAAGGAAAACCCAAAGTCTAATCCTTCCAAAACTGATTCCAAAGCCGAGTCAAACCAGAACTGTTCAATAGTTGCTGCCATCTTCCTTCTTGTGTTTTCTCCAGCATCGCACAGCTTTGTCGTTACACCCTCAAAACCCCGCCCACTTTGCATCCAGAAATTCAAAACACATCTCTGCGTTGTGATTGGCCCGCCAGTTCTAGGGCCTGAGGCATTGATCGAGGCTAGACCAGGCAGAAATGATTTTGGCCGCTGGCGGGTGGGGCTGGTTTACTAGGCTAGTTCCTAACTGGACCCAGCTGGTGGCAGCAGGAATCTCCTAAAGGGGTCTGTGCTGCAGTGGATTAGTATACACCTTTAACTGCAGACCTCATGCGGTATAGTTCCTGCATTTGCTGCTTTTTTTTCTCCTCCCAATGATTTCATGAAGCATAATGGGTCTGAAGAACTCCCAAGAGGTCCTTTTAATTAGCTTGTTCAGCCTGTTTAGTCACTGATGGTGATATTCAAATAGATGGGAGGAAAAGAGTTTTATTTAATCAAGAAAAAGATTGAGATCTGATGGATTTTAAGTTGTTTTAACATCTAAACAGCAGCAGCAAGTCATGGTGACGCTGCCATTAGCCTGGTTAAGTGTCTCTTGAAAACCTGGACTCTTAATGCCTCCATATGTCAGTGACATCATTACTAATCTAAGATTTAGAAAAACAGGACTGCAGTTATTTTTCTTCATCGGTTTAGAATATGCAAATTAAATAATTAAACTCAATAATCTAATGGAGAGAAAAAAAAATACTTGTCTAGATTCTGTGTAATGGTAGGCTGTTTGCCAATATACGTAGTTGTGTGTTCTCATGAAACATAATCAGCCTTTCCGAAAACTGACTAAATCCTCGGATGTTCTCGCCCCTCCCTCTTTACCCAGCATGCATCAGTGCAGACTTGTGCGTTTTCTGAGAAGTTCCATGTATAATTCCAAGTATAATAATGATTTTTTTTTGCCTCAAATGATGTTAAAATGTACATTTATTGAACAACAGCTACAGAAAAAAGAACTTAACTTAACACTCTGAACGCTAATCTGGAAGCTGCTGCTGCTGCGGTGCATGCTGGGATAGCTGTCAATCTCAACAATGCACAAGTCCGCTCTGATGTATGCTGGGTAAAGAGGGAGGGGCCAGACAACAGTTTGTCTATTCTTGGTCTTGTGTTCTTGTAAGTTGATGTTGAGGACCGTGGCCACCAGCGGAGCTCTGAGGCTAACCGCAGCCAGGGCTAACGTTAGCCCGTCTGCAGCAGCTCTCTCTCTGTATAGTGAAGTACTGCTGGTTCTGTGTTTATCTGGCTATGCTAATCATTATTCCCCCGCTAAATGAAGAACGTAATTTATTATTATTATTATTATCTAGAGACCAGTAATAACAGGAGGCGACATGCAGCTCCAGGCTACCTTTGAATGTGGTGATGTCACGCGTACGCTTCTGTTCTGCATGCTCCCGTTCTCTCCAAATCCATACTTCCTGTCTTCTTGTGAATTCAGAACCGGCTATAGCATTTTCACTCAAGGATATTTTATTGTCAGACATGCATCCTAAAGACAGCATTCCTCAAAGGGAACACCGTGTTCTCTAACTGGTTTCCACTCTGTGGTCCCAGCAGGTAGGAGTGGGAGAGAAGAACTGTTTTTTTTCCTTAAGGGGAGATTTGGTGGCGGTGTTGCTCTAACCATGTGCAAAAGGTGAGAGAACATAGTCTTTACTAGTATTAACATTTCTTTACTGGGTTAATGTGTACTAAAATGGTTTTAAAGTGTGCAACTACTATAGGAATGTAAAACTGTTAAGAGTTTGAGCTTTAAGAGACATAACTGAAAATAATTTAATAAATAAAAAATGCTTTTTGAAACAGAAAAAGCTGTAGAACCCAGGGATGAAGCTGTTTAAGACATTTAAAGCTTCAGTAGGAGGAAGAATGAGGATCACCGACCTGGTAGTGGGGTGATGTTGTCAAGCAGCACTTCTGCTCCTTGGAAGGGTAGTGTTACAAAATCCGATCTGCAGAAAAGGCACCAATAGATTAGGACATTTAAAGACATAGATCCTATAAACTGAAGGCGTCACGTTATACTGGGATCAAAACAGTTAACAGTGAGCTGATGGACGTGGAGTCCGGCTCCATGTGGTCTGATGACCTGTCAAAGACTGGAGCTTTTTGGTTAGAATCATCTTTACGTTTCACTGGGGGCCAACAGAGCAGAAAAAACTGTATAGTTTATCTCCTAATGCAAAGTAATGCTACGTTCAGACCGCATGCAGCAGAAGCAGCAAAAAAGTGCATGCTGCTTCATTTTTGATGCTTGCACAAGTTTGGTTCCGACACGCCGCTGAAGCATCTTCTTTGCTGCTCTAGCTGCGCGGTCAAAAAGCGGGTCTAATGTGTGTTGAGCGGAGCTACCCTATCCTTTTTTTGCCTGTAACAATGGCAGATGAAATCAAGAGTCGCTTGGCTTACAGATGCTGGTCATAAAATTAGAATATCATGAAAAAGTAGATTGATTTCAGTAATTCCATTTAAAAAGTGAAACTTGTATATTATATTCATACATTACATACAAACTCATATATTTCAGATGTTTATTTTGTTTAATTTTGATGATTACAAATGACAACAAATGAAAATCTCAAATTCATCATATCAGAAAATTAGAATATTACTGAAGACCAATAAAAACAAAGGATTTATAGAAATGTTGGCCAACTGAAAAGTATGAACATGAAAAGTATGAGCATGTACAGCACTCAGTATTTAGTTGGGCCTCCTTTGGCCTGTATTACTGCAGCAATGCGGCGTGGCATGGAGTCGATCAGTCTGTGGCACTGCTCAGGTGTTATGATAGCCCAGGTTGCTCTAATAGTGGCTTTTAGGTCTTCTGAATTGTTGGGTCTGGTGTATTGCATCTTCTTCTTCACAATACCCCATAGATTTTCTATGGGGTTAAGGTCAGGAGAGTTTGCTGGCCAATTAAGAACAGGGATACCATGGTCCTTCAACCAGGTACTGGTAGCTTTGGCACTGTGTGCAGGTGCCAAGTCCTGTTGGAAAATGAAATCTGCATCTCCAAAAAGTTGGTCAGCTGCAGGAAGCATGAAGTGCTCTAAAACTTCCTGGTATGTGGCTGCGTTGACCCTGGACCTCAGAAAACACAATGGACCAACACCAGCAGATGACATGGCACCCCAAACCATCACTGACTGTGGAAACTTTACACTGGACTTCAAGCAACGTGGATGAAGTGCCTCTCTTCTTTTCCTCCAGACTCTGGGACCTTGATTTCCAAAGGAAATGCAAAATTTACTTTCATCAGAGAACATGACTTTGGACCACTCACCAGCAGTCCAGTCCTGTTTCTCTTTAGCCCAGGCAAGACGCTTCTGACGCTGTCTGTGGTTCAAGAGTGGCTTGACACAAGGAATGCGACAGCAGAAACCCATGTCTTTCATACGTCTGTGTGTGGTGGTTCTTGAAGCACTCACTCCAGCTGCAGTCCACTCTTTGTGAATCTCCCCCACATTTTTGAATGGGTTTTGTTTCACAATCCTCTCCAGGGTGCGGTTATCTCTCTTGCTTGTACACTTTTTTCGACCACATCTTTTCCTTCCCTTCGCCTCTCTATTAATGTGCTTGGACACTGAGCTCTGTGAACAGCCAGCCTCTTTAGCGATGACCTTTTGTGTCTTGCCCTCCTTGTGCAAGGTGTCGATGGTCGTCTTTTGGACAACTGTCAAGTCAGCAGTCTTCCCCATGATTGTGTAGCCTATAGAACTAGACTGAAAGACCATTTAAAGGCTTTTGCAGGTGGTTTGAGTTAATTAGCTGATTAGAGTGTGGCACCAGGGGCCATCAATTTTGAACCTTTTCACAATATTCTAATTTTCTGATATGATGAATTTGAGATTTTCATTTGTTGTCATTTGTAATCATCAAAATTAAACAAAATAAACATCTGAAATATATGAGTTTGTATGTAATGTATGAATATAATATACAAGTTTCACTTTTTAAATGGAATTACTGAAATCAATCTACTTTTTCATGATATTCTAATTTTATGACCAGCACCTGTATTTTAACAAATAATACGTTCAGACCGCAAGGGCTGGAAGCAGCAATAAAGCTTCTGCTGCTTAATTTTTCATGAATGCTGCTCCTGTGTTCAATTGCAGAGAGCGGCTTTGCTATATTTGCTGTGATTAGCGGGTAAAAAGTAGTTTAAATAGATTTTTAAGTTAGAAAGTCCACCTGAAAAAATGAGCTGTACAGTCAGTTCATCCAGATAAAATCCTGCCTTTAAATATTTCTCTGTCCGAGTCGATGGCGCGCTGTCACTGGAAATCCCCTTCAACAGCAGCCTCTAAGGCATTTCCGCAACTGTTTGTAGCGACACAAAGGCATTTCTCATGTATGTAATCCAAACTGCAGGCACCAGGATAATAAAATCGAACATATTTTACCGGCAGGTTTCTACATTTTAAGTTAATTTAGGCGTTAAACTGTTTCAGAGGAGTGATCATAGCGCTCTGCATCAGCAGTGCTGTGTCTGACTCCCTGCTAGCTGCCAGATCAGCTCTCTGTTTGGTTGATGTGGCGCGTCCAGCAGCAAAAGTAACATTTTTTCAAGCTGCTTTCGCAGCGTGTTGCACGTCAGATGACCAGAAGCCAATGAGGCGCTGCAGGACCTTTTGCTGCCCCTTGACATGCCTCAACCGTCGACTTTGCATGTAAACCTGCTGCTTCTGCTGCCTCTAGCAAGTAGGGCTGGGTTTAAAAAAAAAAAAAAAAAAAAAAAAATCGATTTAATGGATTTTGAATCGATTCCTTTACATTTTTGCAAAATCAATATCTAGGGAATGAGATTGATTCATTTTATAGTGACGCGTGTGACGTTCACATTCAAATAAGCAGGAAAGATTCACTCAAGATGACTTCAAGCCAGACAGCTGCAAATATAGCTAATAGGTTGATTGAAGACATTAACAAATGGGGGCTGACCAGAAAACACCCTGTAGTTGTTACAGACAACGCTGCAAGTATGCTTTGTGCAGGAAGATAATGCAGCTCATGCATGTCTGCACTTTTGAGACAATTTTGTTCACATCTCAAGTTTAAATTGTCCGATTTACAAGTTTGCACTTTGTGTTTAATATGACAGGAAAAAAATTAAATACATGACTATTTTGAAACACAGTTGAGCCACTTTTATTATTGTAAAAACAGATCGAATCGAAATTAATCAATTTAGAACTGTATGGATCAAAATCGAATCGATTCAGGACTTTGGCGAAAATACCCAGCCCTACTAGTGCGTCCAGTCTGAACGTAGAATAAGAGAAACAGAATGAAGCGCCTCTTATCCTACAAGCAATGGCCTCCATTTGCCTTCGCTGGTGCCGTTTCTGGCCCTTCAAAAAGGGGACGTGAGTAAATACTGTGAAACCCTTCTGGACAGCCTTCCAAATGTATTCCCCCTTTATAATGACCATCATGGCTTGAAAGAATTGTAGCCTGTATTATAACCATGGATTCATCATTTTAGTTTAGAACATGGACAGCTTTTAAAAAAACTGTTTAGATAATCTCTTTAAATGCTGCAACCATGAACCAGAGAGAAGCAAACGTCAGACCGGTGACACGTGCCTGATTTGCCGCAGTGAATCAATCTTCACTTTGTCGTAGCCTCCGTAGTCGACGTATCTGATCTCCACCTCGTCGGTTTCTTTGTAGAAGGTGATGACCTGAGCCCTCCACCACGCTCCATCCACTGCTGGAGCTGCACAGATGACTCCAACTGGAAGGAAACACAAACATCAGCATTTCGGTTTAAACCAAAAACTCAAACGTTTTGCAGCAGCAAACGTTCAAGTACAGGGGTCGGGAAGCTGCGGCTTCCCGACCCCTGGAAACAAAGCGGCGGGTTTGTCTCAGGCCATGGATCCCAAAAGGTAAAAAAAAGGAAGATAGCTGATGAGAACGGAGGATTCAAAGAAGAATGAACTGAATCATTTGCTTTCATCATCAATGCGGAAGGATTGCCTGCATTTATGCTTTGTAATGAAAGTTTGTCAAAAAATAAAGAGTAATTTGGAAAGGCATTTCCAGGGAAGGCATGCTAAATATGCAGCCGATCATCAAGCTGGGAGTGAAAGAAAAAGTCAGATTGCAGAACTTCTGGATAAATTAAAGGAGAGAAAAGATAGATTTAAGAAGTGGATTGCATCTCCAAACTCCGCTACTGCTGCTAGTTTTGTTGCAAGCATAGAAAACCGTCCACAGATCCAACGGGTAGCTCTAACATGCGGGTATGTGAACTTTCTTCCATTTTTTTCCCCCAAATCCTCAAAATAAAAACAGCAGGCCCCGGCGCGGCTCTCCTCCGAGGAATCTTCGGGAATTTCGGGAAAATATATATATATTTTCAGTTCTGGGCAGTTTCCCACGTAGTTCTAACGATTGAGATAAAAATGCTGAGGGGCCAGAAACTTCAAAGTAATAACTCAGGTTAAAGCAGGAAACGGGGGCGGCGGGGGGCATTTATTTATTTGTTATATTTATTTTGGTCACTTTTCTGGTCACTTTAGTTTATTCTTTGTCAGTATTTAATAACATAACCCAGGTCTCTTAAGTTATTTTTCTTTAAAACAATTCTGTTATGGTTAAAAAAGTTGGTTAAATAAAGATTTAATTCGAAGTCTGTGTTTGTGTTTTTTATTAAAATTAAATAATTTAGCAATATTATAAAAAGTCCAGGCAGAGCTGCACATAAAATATGGTTTCAAATCTTTTCAATAATTATCGATATCGATCAATATGCATTTTTTTTTATCGATAAGCTTTTTTTCTATATCGCCCAGCCCTAATGCTTATTATATATTTAAGCCCATGTAGTCCTTTTTTATAGTTGGCCAATACACTTAGAGCCGTGCTGCTATACATATAGGACACTTTTACAGTTTTGCGGCTGCAGACAGATTTTTTGTTTTTAGTTTTTTTGGTCCAGTATGGCTCTTTAAACATTTTGGGTTACAGATCCCTGTTCTAGTAGAACTGCTGCTGTATCAGTCCTCCTGAACATTTCTACAAACTATCTGGTGACTTTCTACAACTGCCAAGGAAGATGTAGGTTTAAAGTTTACCTTCAGCGGGTGAGGGCAGTGCTGGAGTGCCCGGCTGGGAGTAGCAGAGGAACATCTGCTGGTCGAGACTTCTCAGAGCATGATAGGTGGGATGGGTGTGCTGCTGCACGAAGATGTGACCAGCTGACACAATGTTTACAACAATCACTTCCACCGTCACTCCGCTGGGCAGAAGGAGCTACGGAAAAAGGTCACAGGAGAATCAGTCTGGTCCCTCAGGATGTCTTTCTTTGATTAGGGAACCAATCCTTACCCAGGAAGTTATGGGAAGCGATGGCAATGTTAGTGGAGGCGCATATAGGTTCGTCAGCTCCAGATCTTTGAATTTCTTGCCAATAAATGACAGAGCCTTATCAACCTGCTGCTGCAGACCTGCAGACAGATGAAGCAGAATTAGCCCTGAGCATTTTACTCCTCCTGGTAATCTGACACTTAGGCTACGTTCACACTGCAGCCTGAAGTGACCCAAATCCGATTTTTTTGCCCATATGCGACCTGGATTTGATCCTTTCATGGCAGTCTGAACAACACAGATCTGATTTTTTCCAATGCGACCCAAAACACTTGGCTATGTGGTCCTGAATCCAATACGAATCTGATCTTTTCCAATGCGACCTGTGTCTGAACGGCCAGGTTGGATTCACGTGAAGTAAACACAGAGCACCCTGGCCTGTGATGTCATGCGGGACACTTGTGTTGTATGACTTCAGTTCACACAGGAGATCAGATACAAGTCGCATATATTTGGAAATATAAACGGCAACGCAAAAAAAAATAAAATAAAAAATCTGATTTCACAAAAAAATCGGAATTGAGCATCAAGGCCTGCAGTGTGAACGCAGCCTAAGACAGGGTGAGCCTTTAGTCGTCACGCTGTTTAAAAGCAGGTCTGCTTTCCTTGGTTTTCTGTTCTCACCTTCTATGTGGCAGATCTGGAACTCTTGTGTGTAAGGCAAAGTGGAGATGTAGATTTTTGCTCCAGAGTTCTGCTTCAGGAAACTTACATATCTCCCTTGCTTCCCAATCAGTCGCCCTACAAGATGCTGAAACAAGAAAGCAAACAGGTCATTATGAGCCATGCATACCCGCCCAATGTAATGAGGAAACCTTTTAGAGAAATTATGAACTGAAAATCTCTAGTCTACCACAAACTGATTCCAGACGGGTCATTTTTAACCCTCTGAAGGAGGATCCTTCCATGACATCAGAGCAGCAGAAGCACAGAGATAGATGGTAAACCTTCCAACCTGAGGAAACGCTCCACTAAGTTTCAGAAATCCAAAGACCCTGAACTCGCTGGATGGGTTCAAGACCCCTGAAACCCAATTAGGGTCGGCTGATTGGGTTTCCAGCAACCTGATAGCTTTCTGCTGAAGGAAGAGTTGGAGCCAGATCTTTAACAGAAAAACTTGTCCCATTCTCCAGCTGAAATGTTTTCCCACTGCTCAGGAAACAAGCTTCACTGAAAGCACAGGGACTTCTGTTCTGATCCATTCAGCTCCAGAAAATCAGCTTAGACTATGTTCCCAAGGAACTATATTGATTGCTGCTGGGGAAGATTCTCAGTCATCCAGGTCATAGTCATTAAAAAAAAAAGTTAAACAATCCACTGGACTTTGTTTCCAAGTTTGAAGACGTTTCTCTTCCATCCAGGAAGCTTTTTAAATTCAAAATGTCAGAAATAGCGTTAAGTTTGAGGCTTTATAGAGCCTTGTTTTTGTTTAGAAAACCTGCAAATTAAAATGGACGGGTCCACCCCTTTGGAATGGGGGTCGTTTGGATTATTTTGTTAGCCTGTAATAGTCGGCCTCGGCAGATTGCTGCTCACACTGAGCCTGGTTCTGCTGGAGGTTTCTTCCTGTTCAAAGGGAGTTTTTCCTCTCCTCTGTCGCTACAAGCATGCTTAGTGTGAGGGATTGCCAATGAGTCAATGAGTCAATGCAATCAACTGGTTTTCCTTAGATAGAAAACTTTGTATCAATTTGACTGTATGATCTGATTGAAGTGCCTTGGGATGACATGTGTTGTGAATTTGTCGCTATATAAATAAACTAAATTGAATTAATACCCCATACCTGTCTATGTCTCTGAAAGGGTTTTTTTTAAAGTGAATTGTTGGTCTGGCTGAATAGGTGGGGTCTTCTGTTCCCCTGTAAATGGGATTAGAAGTATTGCGGCGGACAAAAGAAGCCAAACAAAGTTAACTGGCCTCCATGATATCTGACTAAAACCAGTAAATTCTAGTTGTAGACAGCTGCACTGGAAAAACAATCCAGAAATAAGCAATCTGCGTTGTGATTGGCCAGCCAGTTCTAGGGCCAGTTCTAGGGCCTGGGGCATAACAAATAAAGGTTATAATAACAATACAGCTTTTAAAATGTATATATTAGACCTATTTTAAGGTCTACATATCCACAATGGGTTCTTATCACACACTATAATAGAGGTCACGGATTAGTGCTCCACGGTCCGGATCCGGACCCACCTCCTGGCTAATCCAGACCCAGCCTGATTTAAAACATTTATAAATTACTGCACATTGTCTGACGGCAGTGTCTAACTTCACTTGCGCCGCTTCTGCTATTAATATGGTAAAGTCATCCAAAGCGCCCGGCTCCAGGCTGCACGTGATCCATATTAGCCAATGAGCTGTCAGTCTGGGTTGCTGCTGCTGCTACTTTTAGACACAGTAGGCAAACCTGTGGCAAGCCGGGCGATGGGAAAGAAGGAGAAGACCATGAGAAAAAGAGAGCAGAGAAAGTGTGGACTGCTGGAAGAACTGCGGTGAACTGGTGAAAGAAAAGTGAAATGGTGCTCAAAGATGACCCTGCACATTTAGAGGATGTTTGGCTCAACCTGCTGCTGTGAAGCAGGATTCTCCACCATGAACAGAATCAACAATAAATCTGGATCCAGGCTCAAAATGAGCACCTTGATATGTGCTTTAGAATGGCTTAGTCTCCGGTTAAACCCAGGTTTAAAGCCTTGCAGGGCAGCCTAAAGCCCACTGCCAACATTAAGACAGAAAAAAGAAACAAGATAAACAGTCAGTTCAGGTGTTTTAAAATATGTGAATCAGGAAGTTGTCCATTTACCAAACTGAACGATTGTTTTCTAATTCAAAAAACACTTTAGATTTTAAAATGTAAAAATGTCTTCTTTTTTTATATTTTTATTTATTTAAAAAGTCAATGTATAACATTGATGCATAAACACCTCATTTTATTTCAGGGTTAAATTCAGTTAAAAGTAACAGATTATAATTAAAAATGTCTCCGGTCCTTTACTGGTCGTTGATCTTCATTATTCGGACCCCGCTGATTTTTAATTGGTGACCCCTGACCTAGAACCATTTCAGTCGATGACATCATCACTACTCTTGCGTTCCATTGGGAAAAATGTCACCAGTGAAACCGATGGCCAGTGGGAGTTGTAGTAGTATCTGAATTCTGGGAGTCCTAATGTTAACCCGATTCATTGCTTTAGTCAAAAATCATTTGTATTACATACACAGCAAATATAACTAGCATTTCCTCAGTGCCATCATTATTAAAAGCTACGATGCAACTATAAAAAGTGTTTGTTAGACACATGTCATATCAAGTTCCCCAGAGATACAGAAGGGCACATTAGGACTAGATTATGTCGACACATTAAAGTATTAATGAGGGAGAAGAGGTAATGGCATCAAATCGCCGCTTTGACTAACCTTTGGGACCTCAATCTCCCAGATGACGAGTTCCGAGGAAGAAGAGGCGGCGTTGTTGACCTGGGACTCGCAAACACCCATAGTGCAGCCACTGTCCACAGAGTCCATACTGTTGACATCAGAACCTACAGACATTTACCGTTAGAACACATCAGATCAGAAACATCGATTACATATTGAGCTAATTTAGAGGCAGGGAGGCATGATGGGAGGCCATCACATGAATCTGACCACACAGAGCCGTGAAGAACTATTGCCTCCTACTTCTAAGAGGGTCGTAATCCAAGTAGGTTTACTATGTCAATGTGGTTACTGTTTTAAATAACATCAAAGCATTTTGATTCTTTACAACAACACAGATGGGAGAGGTCACTACTTAAGATTCACACAAAAACATTCCAGTCTTCAAACTAGTTTATCTGCACAGGAAGAACTGAAACTACCAGAGAAAAATCCCTCTGAGATGTTTCAACACTGAGTGTTAGGATAAACCTACTGAACACAGGTAACAGCACCGACATTTTGCATTTATTGTTCAGGTTAGATCGCCATGGACTATCCATCCAGGAAGCAAAAACACTTGTATGGAGATAAGCCACTACTGTTCCATTTTAAGCGCCAGAAGAAAGAAGCTGGATCCAAATACAGCAAATCACAAAAGACTCTAAAGTAAAGTGGAAGAATGTTTGCAATGATAAGTGCTGTCTAAATATAGCTTGCAGCAAGGAAGGAGGTACCATTATGCTACGTTCACACCGCATGCAGTTTCAGCAACAGAAGTGGCCGGTTTACATGTAAAGTCAATGGTTGACGCACATCAAAAGGTCCTGCAGCGCATCTAGAGCAGGAGGAGCTTTGCTTTAACTTCTGAGGATCTGACGAGCTTCACAAGCAGCAGCTGTTAGAGTTGGAAAAATGTAACTTTTGCTGCTCGACTCACCATATCAACCAATCAGAGAAGCTGCTCTGGGAGCTGGCAGGGAGACAGACAGCACTGCTGATGCAGAGCGCTATGATCGCTCCTCTGAAACAGTTTATTAAAGCCTAAATTAACTTAAAATGCCCAAATCTGCTGGAAAAACATGTTCGCCAGAAAAAGTGGGGGGAAAACCCCCAAGAGGCGAGCGGGCCTGAGGCAGCTGCTGCTGGGGATTCCTAATAACAGCGCACCGTCAGTATGGGGGGGGGTCTGAGTGGCTCCAGCAGAGAAATAACACTTTTAGGAAGGGTCGTAATCCAGATGAACTGACTGCACAGGTGGACTTTCTCACTTAGAAATATATGATCACAGCAAATATAGCAAAGCCGCTCTGTGCCATTAAACAAAGGAGCAGTTTCACTGAGTCGCACCATAAAACTACCTTTAATGTAATGTCATCATCATAAAAATGTTATCAATACATGTATATACCATATACATTAAAGATTGAGCACTTTTGGCACATCAGATAGTATGTGGGGGTGTACTGTGGAACAGTAATAATATCTGACTACAGTATTACAGGGGTGGATGTTAAGGATTTTTACCACTTGCCCTTTGGGCAAATGACTTTCACATTTCATTTGCCCAGAAACTATTTTTTTCTTGCCCAGTATAATGTTTGATAAATATAGTTCCTAATAATCATTTTTGTATATATATCAATGAAACATGTTTGCTTTTTAAATGTTTTTTTGTAATTCAATAAGTTTCCAGGTTCCTGGTGTGTATCTGCATGCGTCAGATAATGAACTCAAGCTTACATTACCGTGTTAACATGCTTTTCAATCCTTCCTGCACATTCTTTTCAAACTAAACTTTGCTTTAAACTGTTGTGTGCTTGGAAAAATATAAATTGTAATGTTAAAAATAAAAAAAAAACTTAACAGGTTAAAAACTTACACTACTACTACTCACCAATTTAACATGTTTAGCTCTATAACATTTAAATGCACCACTCCAATGTCTAAGAGAAAAAATTTTATCAACATTTTTGAATGTATGACCACTGTACAGAAGACGGCCATATGATAGAAATATTTACACTGTGCGCATACAATTATTCTTTTCCTAATCCCTGACTGATCGTTTTTAATCTAGCGTGTATTATAGTATAGATTAAATTCATCATCCAGCTGCTGCTCTGCAGAATTCTCTCCCCAAGAGCTGAATCATCAAGCCCAGTATTATTTTGCTCCATTAATATACTTTGTCATAATGTTGCTGTAATGGATTTGCATAATATGTTACATTACTTGATTTATACACTTTATACTGACTATGAATGATTAACTTTTTTTTTTATCTTAAATGACTAATCTACTGATGCTATGAAACGGCATGTGTGAAAGTGATGACTTTTTTAAAAAGTCTTAAAGGGATAGTTCGGTATTTTTGACATGAATCTGTATGGCATCCCCATCACCAGTGTCATGCAATCACACTGACTTACCCCTGGCAGCATCCTGTGAGCAGAGTTCTCGTCCAGTTTTGGTCAAGCCGAAAGTAGTCCGGCAGGTTTGCTAGACCCAGCGAAATAAAACGTTTCTCTTCCCAAAACATTATGTGTTCAAAAGAGCGATATTTTTGCATCCCAAAAACGTTGTAGTGGAAAAAGTCACACGTCGTTATCAATTGGTCCTATTTTCTCTCTGTTCGTATCAGTGCGCGCCGTCATTCAGACAGCTAGGGCCTACTAACCTGACAACAGCCAGATGCATGTCTCCCTCCGCCCAGCTAGGAGCTAGGCGGAGGGAGACATGCATCTGGCTGTTGTTGAGCTCGCTGTCTGAATGACGGCGCGCACTGATATGAACAGAGAGAAAATAGGACCAAGTGATAACGACGTGTGACTTTTTCCACTACAACGTTTTTGGGATGCAAAAATATCACTCTTTTGAACACATAATGTTTTGGGAAGAGAAACGTTTTATTTCGCTGGCTCTAGCAAACCTGCCGGACTACTTTCGGCTTGACCAAAACTGGACGAGAACTCTGCTCACAGGACGCTGCCAGGGGTAAGTCAGTGTGATTGCATGACACTGGTGATGGGGATGCCATACAGATTCATGTCAAAAATACCGAACTATCCCTTTAAGGCCGCCTGAAAATGAGATCATCATCATTGTACAATGCATTAGAGTACGTACTGTTTACATTCCAACTGGTAAATCTAGGGAGTACCAATATGGCGGCATGTAACTTCACAGCACTGTGTACTACCAACTGCCTATCAGCAATCCAGTGAATAAATAGAGTTCAGTGGTTCTTTTCTAATGCTAAGGAGCTATGAGGACTCCCATAATCCTTTGCAGCGCAGGAGGTGGGGCAAAGACCCCCTCATGGAATTTAACAAGAATACATAATTTCTTCACATGTCCTCTGTGACACGTGCTAACGGGCGTATTTCTATCTTCTGGACCCTGATTGTTCACCTCTGAACATTCGATCCTTTATAAGGCTCCTCTTAAGTTAAGCATTAAACTAGCAATAGTTTTCAAACCACTAAATCCTTAGAAGTTCAACAAAGCAAAAGTAACAGGATGATTAGAATCCTTCCTCACCTCCAGACTGATCTGTATCCAACTCGCATGTCCCATGTGCTCCGTTCCTCAGGCCGTCCCCATTTACGCCCTTCATGTCACACACTGCATCAGGCGGTTCTTCTGTCTCCTTTGCGACGCTCCCGGCTGCGGCCGGAGGCTGCCGGCCGTCCTGCGCAGACGGAACCTTGAACGCGTCGGCTGGGTTCTCTAGCGTGCTGCCCTGCAGGTCTTCGCTGCTGATTCCCTCCTCAGAGTGGCATGTGCTGCAGGCAGAGTCTTCAGCCAGCGCCGCCGCCTCCTCACTTCTACATTTAGAGAGCAGCGCCGGATGTCCTTGGCGTAACGCCGTTGGCCAGGCCTCGTTCTGTGCACTGTTGGTTTTCTGAATCCGGGTCTCAACATTTGCCCATTCTTCGACCAGAGAGCAAACTTTCAGCTCTCCTTCAACTTCTTTCTCTGTTGCCTTGGTGAGCTCTCCATCTCCATGTGAGAGACCATCATCAAGGGAGGCTCCTGTTGTGGAGTTGAGCTGGGGGCATAGAGTGCCACTGGCCAGAGCAGCACTACTTCTACTACTGGGTTCCTCGTTTGCTGTAACCTCACAGCTCGTAGTGCCAAGCACTTCCTGGGTGGCTGCAGAGAGGACCTCAGTTATGAGTCCGGCTGCCAGGAGCTCCAGATGGTTCATTTCTTCAGTGTTTCTCTCTACTTGTATCTCAGCTGAGCTAGCTAATGAGGTGGTGGTGGCCTGGGCTCTGGAGGCGGGGATGTTGGGGGTGCTGGTGAGGATGTGATTGTGTAAATCCTGTATTTGCAGGGGATTCTCCAAAGACTCTTCATCTGAGGCCGTCGCTCTCAGTGTTTTGGTAGATGTAGCTATACAAACAATCTCCTCTTGTGGATTTACAGTGCTGTGATGGGTAGCAACCTCACCTTCTGGCTCTGGCCTTTCTGCATCTATAGTGTTTGTGGAGGATCTGGCGTCTTTGGATGAGGATGAGGGTGCGGCGTTGGACAGCAAAGCAGATTCCTCCGATACTTCTGGAAGAAGGTCTAAATCTTTGGCTGGGCATTTCTCTAGCTTCCCAATTAAAGCGGGGGCTGAATCAATGTCCGGGTCTTCATGGGGCGTCTCTGCCAAATCCTTGTTGCCAAATGTTGGCGGAGTTAAATTTGACAGAGCATGAGCTTCTGCGGGTGCTAAGCTAGCATCATTACCTCTGTGTTCCTGTGAAGATGTTGCTTCAGCGTCTTGGAGTTGAAAGGGGGAAATAATTTCATTTTCTTTATTCTGGTTGCTGAGGTTTGGAAAGACGGCGCTCTCCTCCTCATACAGCAGGCCATTGCTGCCTTCTACGTGAGAGTCTTTGAAGCTCACAGGACTTTGAGAGACCTCCGAGCTCTGGCTGTCGATCCGTTCTTTCTTCCTCGATGTGTACCACCACCAGCCAATAAGTACAAGTACTCCAGGCAATGTGTAGGGAACAACAGAGCGGAACCGCACTGGCATTTCCTCAAGACGCCAAACACTCACCTGAAACAAGAGAAAGTTATGTTAGCAACGACTGAATTGATTTGGATTCATTTAGAGAAGTAAACTTATTATATCAAACAGCTTATGAAGGCATCTTCAGTTGTTTTTAGTGCAAACATTGGGACAGCCTGGATAGAATATTTTCTATCTGAGGAAAGCAGAGTGCATGGGCCTCTAGGGAAAGGCAAACAAAAAAAATACTTTGACTGCAGAGCAATAGGTCAATAAAGAGAAATATATTGTCCTTCTCAGTTTGTTCTTTAAAATGGATCAACTGGGCTGCTGGCTCAAAATGTTATAAATCATAATCACCATTATAAATGATAAAGTTGGGTCTCTTTTAAAGTGTTTAGTCTTGTTTTGTATGTACTCTTCATCCTCTTAGATATCAAAAGTAACCCCCAGATTCCACATCCTTCGTCACCACCCCGCCCACGTACGTCATGAGGAGTACTTGTCTGTCAGGTTAGTCAATCAGAACTGTTCCAAATCCACCGCTACTCCTCCGCACGCCGCCGTCCACGTAAGTCTTCTCCGTCCGTCACCGTCGAAATACGAGCCGAGCTATTTCTTTACTCCGCTCCGCTTAAAATCCGCAATCGCACCAAGCAGCAAAAAGAACGTAGAGAAGATCCAGTTTGTCAAATTAAAATATAGCAACGACAGATCGGTAAGTACAAATTAGAGCATAATTCTTATATATTCCCAAAAAATAAGATTTAATTTAGTTTAATTACATGATTGGATGCAAGCTACTGATACTTCAACGTATCAAGAAGCAGATTTCTCATATCCATCAAATTATTTTATACCAAGATGCGTAAAAGCTTAATCAAATCCAGTCACAACGACTTCTAAGACCGAATCTCAAAAATTATAAAAAAACTTCTTGTGGCAGGCATGGATGAAGAGATGCTGAGTTTGGAGCTAAAGAACAAACATAGTTCACAATAAACGCCCACCCTTAGATGGTGCTCATACTGTCATTTACAGCCCCCTGGTGAGGAAATCAACAAAGACAGGCTGTGTCAGAACGTCCGCCCTAACCCCTCTGTAGGTCACTATATGGGGTTACCCCATTTTACACGAGTGTCTGAATGGGCAGTGGATGAAAACTCGTGGACTCAAAATTGCCCACAATGTCCGTCCACAAGTAGTGTGCATCCATGGTCACTAGATGAACAGATATCGCAAAATGCTTTGCAAGAGCCCCTTATCTCTTAGCATTATGGGATTTGTTTTAGGGGCGAGAGAAAGGAAAGATGACGGCGGCACCACTAGGCCAACAGGAGCGAAAAACAGTGGTGATCTGTCCGAAGAGTCATTTAACCGAGTGTACTGGGTTTGTTTCCATAGCAACCGGGCCAGAAACGGACAGCCAGCTTTATGAAAGCCAAATAAAGCCAGACATAAACCGTACATTTTTTTTTTGTCCTTTTCGGGACGATTCTCGAGTTGTGCGAGAATTTTTCGATCAGGCCGACTTTCAGCCTGATGGTGCGTGGTGTACGTGTGCAGGGGGGTAACGAGGAGCGATCAGCTTCTAACGACCACCTTCCGATCAGGTATCGTAGGGTCGGGAGAAAATTAAACATGTTTGAAATTCAGTCGGCTGTCGTAAAAACACAGCAGCATGGCGGGGGGTGCAATGATTGAAATGGAGTTCTTTCTATAAAACTGACAGACCGTAGTAGCCGTGTGCTCAGCCACATCTTTGTCCAAATACAGCGTCGCATTTACTTTTTAGGGATTTCAACACAAAATTGAACAAATTGCCAAGGCAGCACGTTTCAGTGAACTTTTTATTCCTCTTCTACTCGTTTGATTCACAGACAAGTCCGAGTAGCGCCATCTCACTGCGGAGCTCAGTCCCACCTGGTTTTTAGTCGAACAGTGTGAGCAGGTAGATCGCATCAGAGCGTCGGGTCGCACAGTGTGAGAACAAACATCGTGAGCTGGGAACTTTTAAACCCTGCGGTTTTGCCTTGCAGTGTGAGCTGTAGCTGCTAAAATGATTGAAAATATCACACAGTGTATACCCGGATTAAGCCAGACTTGGCCAACTTAGCCAGTTTTGTCCAGCCCCGCTCAGTTTAACACACCAGGATCAAAGGACAGTGAGATAAATACATTTAAAAGTTTCAGGACACTAACTCCATTCCACTCAGTGGAGTTTAACACCCTCCTCCTACAGAGACTCCTGTTAGCCTCCCTGAGTAAGCAGACAGGCTACTATCAGAGCCCCACGCAGCTTAACACTGTGGAGTTAAAGCTGCTATCATGCACCTGCTGTCACACTGACAGCACTGTTTCATTTCTCCAGAATATTAAAACATGATTCCTCCTGATTTGCTTTATCAGAAACTCCAGCACTGAAGTGAAGACATCAACATTCACCTGGATCAGACCAACTACGGTAATAGACAGCTGTCTGACAGGCTGCTACGTTCAAGTACATCCCAGCTGCGCTGAAATTCAGACCACTACCCGGAGCAACATCAGAGAGGAAGGGCCTGAAGAAAAGGGGGTGGGTTTATTTAGCAAATATGAGTTTAGCATTTATATGAAGTACAAAGTTCTTGTATCGGGGATTAATAAACTACTAAAACTGTAGCTTTATACCGTTTTTTCCAATAAAATCTTAAAAAATAACTTATGGAGGTTGGAAATGACCTAATTACAGCTTCCAGACTCCTAATTCAGTCTGTAAAATATTTCCAGTTGATGGTATAAAAATGAAACCCTTGTTTGCTGATGAAGAATATTCAGTCATCCAGGTCATGGTCCTTCAAAAAAAAGTTAACAATCCACTAGACTGTGTTTCCAAGTTTGAAGACTTTTCTTAACTTTTTTGGAAAGCCTTGTTTGTTCTTCTTCTGGATGACAAATGTCACTTTCATTTTAAGACCATTCATTATATAAACACTGCTTTTGTCTACACAGTCAGAGATGCAGTTATACCTTTGGGCTAAGAGGGGGCAGCCTGCAGAAAGCTGCCCAAAAACAGACTCTCATTATGTAGAATGACGTTTTAAATAGGGGTATAACAGACTTTTGGGGAAAGCCCCACATTTTTAGCTAAAGAATAACTTAAAGAGCAGCTGGACAGAAACCTTGCAGTTGGAAACCAAAAAACGATTCAGCAGGTTTGTTCATTTCTAAATCGCTTTAAAAAATTACTTTGCAGGAGTCACGAATGGATTCATCTCTAGTTTTTAACCATTTCTAATATAAAACACTTTCAAAGTATTCCTTTCCTAGAGGCACTTCACTTTCAAATACAAAATAGTGAAGTTCACTGTGAACTCACAGTAAATAGACCTTACATTACCAACACCTGGTTTTATTGGCCTGATCCTGTGACCCGATGTTATACTGGTCACCAGTGTTGTGCCTGAACGCGTTCATTGAACGAAAGTTCATGAACTCGTTCATATTTTGGGCGAACGTGAACTGAACGTACTGCATTACTGCCTGATGAACGTTATTGTGAACTCGTTCATTCTGGCGTCTGTGAACGGCACGCTCTCTCGGTTCAACTCCGTTCAATAGGTTGCCAGATTTCTATAGAGCCCTCCAGGCGAAACCCCGGCTAAATCACACCGTAAACAGGCCTTAATATGTAGCGGTAAAAACACCCAATCTGGCAACAGCAGCTACCAGTGTCGTAGCCTACAGCCGCGTGCGTCATCAAAACAAAATGCAGCGTGGAAGCCACAGCAGCATGGAGACGACTTAAAACAGTTTTATGACCAGGTGGTCGGTGAGGATGATGGCAACAAGTTTGCCCGCCGGCTTTCAGTAAAAAAATCCGCACTTCAGTAACCTTAAATTCCTACCTCAGCCTGGTCCCTCAGTTTGTGTTAGTAAAATCTTCTTGAGCGGTCTTCAACGGGGGATCCGCGACCCCTAGGGGGTCTACGGAGGTACTGCATGAGGGTGTGCATGGTTAGTTGATATTTTTATATTCTCCCCCTGCATTTTTTTCCCCCACTAATTGAAATGTCTTTAAATACTCATTAACATGAAATCAACACACTGTAGTAAACAGATAAATGGAGACAGAAGATGTCTTTCAGTCATCAATGCACACATTCAGCGACACACAGGAGCTCTTTCAAGCTGGGCACAGTTTCCTTCACAACAACCAGGAATCAGAAAAACTTTAATAATCCCAGGGAGAAATTAATTTCTTTACATTACTCCATCTGTAATAGAGTGACTATAGGACACAATTTCATACAATATATATAAATAGGGGGTCCCCGCTCCATCTCGCCATCAGTTTGGGGGTCCTTGGTCTGGAAAACATAGAAGACCCCTGTTCTTGAGGGTTTTACTATCCATGTAACTTATTTTTTAAACCTGCCTGGTATAATTTTCCAGGATTCCTTTTTAGTATGTATTGAAATGGAATTTTAAATGGAAAAAATTATTAAAATAAAAAAAAACATTTGCACCTTAAAGACTACTTTCCTATTTTTCTTTTAATAATTACTCATAAAAAAGACCATTCAAGCAGCACATTTTTCCTGATGTTTTTGAGAATATACTGTAGGGGTGAAAGCTGCAGCTGCTACTAGTGTGAAGTGAATGGACAGCAACAAAGCGTTAAAGCAACAATGGGGAAATGCTGTCCCCTCAATGCTAATGTAAACCCTGGTTGGATAAGGATTCAAAACTGGATATGAAGATGAAATCTGACGCACAGTTTCAGAGTTACAACTGATAAAATAATTGCTGTCGTGGTTCTACAGTAGGCTATGGTGTTATTGAGCAATATATGAAAAAAAAATGAAAAAAAAAAGAACTATGAACTAGTTCGTTTTTTGGAATTGTGAACTATGAACTGAACTAGTTCATTTTAAAATGTGTGAACTGAACTTTGAACTAGTTCACGTAGAAAGAGAACTTTCCCAACACTGCTGGTCACCTGCAAAAAGAAACCTAAAAAAAAGCAGGTTGGAGGAAAAGGAAAGATAAAAAATGGGAGAAACAAAGAAGGGAGCAAGATAGGAAAGATATGAAGGACACTAGAGGGAGGTAGGACACAAGGACACTACAAAGAAATGAAGGGAATGAGGAAAGAAACATAAGGTTAGAGGTAAGAAACCAAACTTTAAAGGAAGGGTGGAAAGGAAAGAGAAACCAAGGACACAATGAGAAGCAACAGAAGAAAGTTTGGAAATATAATTCAATATTATCTGTCCTTAACTTTCCCAGAAACCATCTCCCTAAAGATTTCCGACATGATCCCCTCCAGTAACTTCACACTGAATTAATTAAATAACTGAGGGAAGATCTGGACTCATGAAAGGTGAAAAAAGTCAGCAGGTCCGAATGTGAGCACATAAAGCCGCCCGGTGCATGGCAGGCCTCCAGCCTGTGCTCCTCCTGTGGAGGGTCTCCTCCAGGAGAACAGGGAGCAAAGTGACAGCTGAGGAGGCCACACTTCTACCCACAACACATGACATCAGTAGAGGTGACACGCAATCCACATCCACTCAACTCAACCCGGACGGTTTGACCTTCCCATCGCAGCCACACGACCCATCCCACAGGTTCAACTAAGCAGAGGGCACGTGCGTGCTGCACGCGGGTTAACGACTTTCCCCGAGCAGGCCTCAGCCCTGCTGCTAGCCACCAGAGCTAGCATGATAGCACACGGCGTCTAGCGGCTACCTGCTAACCTTGGGATCGAAACATATTCACGCGGTGGCTAGGATAGGTCTGAGCTAACCAGACAAAGTCCGGCTCTTTAAGTTTCATAACGGGAGCGCAGCTAAAGCGCCCCGCTGACAGCCAGAGGGAACAGGCTGTCCGTTCAATGACATGAGCATACCGCTCCAATTCCCCTACAGAGTCGGCTTGGAGCAGCTTGCGACGTTAACTTCACACTATCGCTGTAGTTAGCGCTCTCCGCTTCCAGTGCATCAACAATGTCAAATGGACAGAGCGAACAAGGAGACATGCTAAAACTGCTCCGTGCAGCCGGCTGGGAAACATGGCTGCCTCTTTACTTACAGTGTTTTAAGGTCCTCGATGCTGCCACGATGGGAACAAAAATTGTCAGAATGTTTTCAATCGCGCTCCTGATCTCCCCACGTGTTAACCGACCTGCCTTAGTCTGTAAAAACAGTCCAAACAGCTGTTCAAATCTCGCGATACTCGATTATGTACTCTCGCTTCAGGCGAGAGTGCTCCTTCCCCTGGAAGGAGACTGCATAAAAAAAACTGCACACAAGTACTATTAATAGACATAAACTGCATATGGGCAAGGCACATAAAATAGAACTAATCCTAAGTTTTACAGTCTAAGATGAGCTGAGATTGGGTTCTTAAATATAAAGGAAATGAGGAAAGTTCATAAACACATGACAGCAGACTGGAATTATGTGCCTTGCGGTGCTGTAATCTTAAACAGACATTTTTTGCATAAAGGAAAATCTAAACTCTACGGAAGAGGATTAGGGTCACTGGAAAAAAAAAAGTTAACTGATTTTTACATTTTATTTCAGTTTAGTATGGGGAAAAAAATCAGAATTCTGAAATTAAAGTCAGAATTATGACTTCAATCTCAGAATTCTGACTTTAATTTCAGAATTCTGACTTTTTTCTCAGAATTCTGACTGAATTCTGACAATAAAAAAAGTCAGAATTCTTAGATAAAAGTCAGAATTCTGAGAAGAAATTCAGAATTCTGAGATTAAAGTCAGAATTCTGAGATTAAAGTCAGAATTTTGAGATTAAAGTCAGAATTCTGACTGAATTCTGACAATAAAAAAAATCAGAATTCTTAGATAAAAGTCAGAATTCTGAGAAGAAATTCAGAATTCTGAGATTAAAGTCAGAATTTTGAGATTTAAGTCAGAATTCTGAGAAAAAATTCAGAATTCTGAGAAAAAAGTCAGAAGTCTGACTTTTTTCCCATGTTAAACTGAAATAAAAATAAAAAATCAGGTAACTTTTTTTTTTTTACAGTGGCCCTAATCCTCTTGCGTAAAACTCTGAAAGCATTGTGTGGAGAAAAATTCAAACATATCTTAATCGGAGGCGTAGCCAGAACATTTTTATAATGGCAGCTATGCAACAGTGATGTCAAAAGTACACACATTTGTTACTTAAGTAGAGGTATAGATACTGAACTTTAAAAACACAAAGTTGAAGTATCTACATGACTTCTTTACTGAAGTAAAAGTGAAAAAGTATGTGCTCCAAAACCTACTTAAAGTACAAAAGTATAAAGTAACCTTTAAAAAAACAGCCAGATGCCGCTATATGAATTGAAAGCCCAATTTTTCAACTATTTAGAAACATTCTTTGAGATTGGGCCAAGGATGAGGGAGGTCTTGTAGGTCTCCGTCTCCATCTCCCGATACGCTCTCGCCTGTGTGCGACCTTTCAGACATTTCAACCTTTTTTTCTGAATCCCACATTGTAGCATGGCATAGACAATTCACGTAAGTTTGAAGAACACCTGCTTCCTGTTGTTGGTCTGCAAGTTTGATCACATGCATGTCAACCTGGTGGATGCCCTGCCCCTGTCACAATATTTTTTTTATATATATTGCTAATAATGCTTTAGAAATGCAAACATCATAAGGTGAAGTTCCAATATTTTTTTTTTAAATCAAATTTTTACTGGACCTGAAATAGCACTTTATAAACACCATCAGGCAAAAATAAATTAATATATTTGACACTCTTATTTTCTCACTCTCCGGGGTTTCTTAGTTCTTCTAATTATGTAAATTACTTTCAAAAATAATCATACTACCTAATGAAAAATGATTGGAATTTAAATGAAATAGGGATAAAAACAGATATTTATTTAAGAACTACATATAATAATTACCTTAAAATTTATACAGATGGTTCTAAGAATTTAAAAGGTTATGTGGGTATAGAAATATATATCCCAGAGTTTAAAAAATTTATTCATAAAAGAATATCAGATCAATTGTCGGTTTTTACAGCAGAAATGGTGGCAGTTATATTAAGCTTGCAATGGGTGGAGGAGATTCGACCAATCAGGGTGGTGGTGTGCACAGATTCTAAAGCAGTAGTGGAAAGTATTAAGGGAGAAGGAAATAATAGAAAAGATTTGGTATTAGAAATTCATCATATTTTATTTAGATTATATAGGGGTGGCATTGATGTTTGGTTTTGTTGGGTGCCAGCACATGAAGGAGTAAAAGGCAATGAAAAGGCAGATAAATTAGCTAAAAGGGCTTTAGAGGGGGAAATAACAATTTCAATTCATTTTGGAAAAGGGGAAGGGAAATCACTTATTAAAAGTAAAGAAATGGAGGAATGGCAAAAAATATGGAACGAAGATAGGAAAGGAAGAAGATTATATGAAGTGCAAAAGTCAGTTCGAATTCGAAGCATTAATGAAAGAAACAGAAGAGAAGAAATAATAGTTAGTAGATTAAGAATAGGTCATACCTACTTAAATGACATGCTTTATTTAATAGGGAGGAAAAATAGTGATAAATGTGAGAAATGTGGTGAAAAAGAAAATGTAGAACACATACTGATGAACTGTAAGTTATATGAACACGAAAGGGAAGAATTAAAGAGAATAGTTAGAAGTATAGGGCATGAATGGAATCTTAAAGGAATATTAGGAAATGAAGGAAACATAACAGATATTCATAAACTAAGGAAAGCATTGTTTATGTATCTTAAGAATACAAAATAAAAAAATAGAATCTAATAGATGTGAAGTAATGCTACTACACACTCATGTACAGTAGGTGGCGGTATGCACCTTAACATTGCTTGTGATCCGCCATAATAGAAAAGAAGAAGAAGAAGAAGAAGAAGAAGAAGAAGAAGAAGAAGAAGAAGAAGAAGAAGAAATCATACTACCTTTTAAAAATGTACTATGTTGACATACTTAATAATATGTCAGCAACACAATGACAGCATTCATTATCATGCTGACATTGTTTTTGCTGCTATTTAAAGAAATAATATTCTATATTTTATTCAAATTCTCTGCCTTATGAAGCAGGCATGTTTTGCTCCTCATTTGATAAATAACTGATAAATTATTAACTCAGTGTTCTTCCTGTGGCTAATTAGATTTACTATCATAAAATCAATAACAATAACATTAACATCTCAGAGAAAAACTTTTTAGCCGCAAAAGAGAAGGGTGGGGACTAAACCACTGATGTGCTCTGCTTTTGTTTTCTGATCAATGGGGCAGTTTTGTGGAGTATTTTTGTAATTTGATAACCACTGACAGGAAATGCGTAACTCTGCATATTTCTAAATCATGAGTAAACAATTTTTCCAGACTAGGTAGGATTCCCGTAGGCCTGTGGAGCGCCATTTTTCTCCACTTTCCTAGCATTTTGCTTCAGAATGCACAGCTCTGCATTAAACCAGGGAGCAAGCTTTCTATAATTAATTAAACAATCAAAAGACTTTCCCTTTTAAAAGAATACACCAGAAATGATATCCATACATTGAGAAATAAATATCTTATCTTTGCTATTACATCAAAACATAAAGAGATTCATTTCAAAAACTTAAATTTATCCTTCCAACCTATTCATATGCTCCAAATTTAGATTCACTGTAGAAAAATGTCGTCTACGTGAGCAAGATGAGGAAAAAAGAACTGAACATTTCTCTTTTTTTTAATTGTAGTAAATCCCAAACATTTTTATCCTCAATTCATAACTGGTTACAAACTAAATCCTTACATATATTTTCTCTCCCCCTTCTCAATGAAATTTGATATTATATTCCAAGATAAACAAATATAATTTATGATTAATTATATAAGTATTAAGGTCAAATTTTTCATACACAAATGGGGAGATGCACGGCCACTGTGGAGGGGACCGGGGCACAAATCATCATGTTGCACTTGGCTTCCTGGGAATCCAAGGAGGCTGTTTGGAAAGCAGCAAAGGCATTATCTTACCTGCAACAAAAGACCTGCGTTTCAAGAAGGATGTTTCCAAAGGTGACAGAGAGAGACAACTAAAGCGGTGGCCACATGTAAAGAGGGACAGAAATGTAACATAGACAGCTTGCTTTGTGGGAGGACGCATGTTTATTGTTGAAAAGGCAGAGATAATCATAAATGACTTGCAGTGTTTTAAACAAATTCAGATCAGTCTGAACTCTTGTACTGCAATCAATGGACAGAGATTAACCATTAAGAGTGAGCTTAAACATGTATAGTAACAACTTAACGTTTGGCTAAGACCATGTGAAGTTCCTTTGAGTAAAACATTATTTTATGTGGTGCTGCAGGTGCTAATGTAATGTCTCAGAAAGACGAACCAAGGATTCAGGCAAGGCAGACCGTGAAATACTTAAAAGGGAACGCCTTTTTTTTTTTTTTACATTGGGCCCTTGATTTTACATTATTACATAATGTTCTACTCTACGGAGCCCCTCTGATGACATGGTCAAAAAAATTTTTTTATTGTGGCCACGAAGTAGTATTTCGTGCGCACAAAGTAGTATTTCGTGGCCACGCAATAAGTTTAACGTGCGCACGAAATACTATTTCGTGGCCACGCAATAAGTTTAACGTGCGCACGAAATACTTATTAATAATATTAATATCATTCCTGGACAACTGGGTAAGCAAATCGAGCACGCCTTCTCTAAGGTCTAAGGTGCGCTCGATTTGCTTACCCAGTCGGTCTCCGCCAGTCACGTGACATTTGTTGCTAAGACGCCATTTTAGGTGGAAAAGGCGTAGTGTAAACAACCGCAGCATAGCTAAACGAAGGACTAAAGGCCCGTTTACATAGCAGCCTGTCCAAGATAAGTCATTACAGTTAACATAAGCCTGAAAACAGGGGCGGATTTATTGATATTATTAATAAGTATTTCGTGCGCACGTTAAACTTATTGCGTGGCCACGAAGTAGTGTTTCGTGCGCACGATAAACTTTTTGCGTGGCCACGAAGTAGTATTTCGTGCGCATGTTATACTTATTGCGTGGCCGCGAAATACTACTTCGTGTGCACGAAATACTACTTCGTTAACCTGACAACAGCCAGATGCATGTCTCGCTCCGCCTAGCTCCGCTCACATACATCTGGGAACCCGCCATAGGAATTGCCTTTACTGAAGGCTGGGCCTTATCAAAACTCCTTGCATATGATTGGATAAGCCACTTGTCTGTCATCTTTATTGAC